TAATCTCTCGCTCTAAGTGCCTACCGCTAACTGTTGTTGTTGCATGTACTTTTATTTTTATTTTTTGCAAAGTTCAGAGATTCAACTCTGTGCTAAAAATACAATATTTCGCATACGACTTTTGCCTATAATATTGGCTAATAGCTTTCGATCTGCATTTGATTGACAATGGCCACACATCGCGCATAGATTGATTAGCGTTTAATTACTTCACTTTATAATATTATATTGAGCTGCATATATTTTATGTCTTAAAAACTGGTTTAGTCAGTAAAATTTAGTTCGTTTCTTAATTATGCGAGATATCTCTTGATGCAGCATAAATTTGATTTCCATTTTGCATAGTGAGTGGCTGGTATGAAGTCAGTTTCATTATGTTGCGGCCAACTTAACAAGCCAATTCATGAGTTGCGACCAACTTAACTAGCTGGACTTAACAGTCGCAGCCAACTTAATTGGCCGTTTGCTTGGGTGCATTATTCGTTGCTGCTAGGCAACAATTAAAGCTATTTAAATTGAAAATCAACTAGAAAATACAATTAAAAAAATTTCCATACAATATTGTTTATTCAAAATACAAATCTCTATTAAATGCTTAGCATATTTACAAAGCCCTTATCAATATTATTAAACCACTGTTGCACATGGCAACCTTGGCCGCATGCCGCTATCTAAAGCCAGACCACAGACATTATCTTTATACCAATAGCTGGGTTATGGCCCCCTCCATATATTCATACTCATATCTAGATGCCAGTTAATGCCTTTTGCATTTAGTGCTAAAACAATTGTAAATGACAGCTGGCACACTGTGCCTACCGTGGGCAAGCGTGACAAATTTCTGCCACTCATGCAAATTTTTCAAACTTACGTAAAAAATATACAATAACAACGAAAAACAAATCGAGCAAAACAACAAAATTTAGCTTAGCTCGTGCCATGCTATTGCCCCAAAGTTGACGCTTGACTTGTGATGGAAAAAGACGCAGTGCTATCGCAACTGATAAGCTGATAAGAATTAAATGATAACAGATAAGATTTGGCTTCGGTTTAGTTCGCTTAAAGCCCAGCAGCAGTTGTGGGCGGCCTATATAAAGATGCTGTGGATAAACAATTGTCCTCACAGTTAGTTAAATTAATTAAAAGATTTCGAGTACGGGTTCGTTATTTGTTATAGCCATGGCACTTCCCAAACATCTTATAAGCATATAACTCAATTTATGGATACGCAGCAGCAACAACAACAGGTTGATAAATACATTCAACTTTGCATACTAAGTGGCTCATTAGGGGGCACGTTGAAGAGCCACACACATCGATCAACTGGAATGAGAATTGAAATGGGCCCGAGCCCGAGCAGAGACCCATAAAACAACGAGCCGTTTTATAAGCCATATACGATCCGAAGGCAGCGTAAACAAAATAGAATTTTTTGCACTTTGCTGCTGCATTCTGATTGTATAATTAATCAGGTTGGTTTTTTATGTTGCTAATTTTTTTATATTTTGCGACTGAGTCACAGGTTTTTGCTTTACAATACCCCCCAAACCCCAAAAGTTTAAAGGGTATCGCAAAGTCAAGTCGAGCCAAGGCAATATCTAAAAAAATCGCATTAAAAATTGGAAGTTACTTGAAAAACGCAATATAATGCTGTGTACAGGGTAGCTCTAAGTCTGGCAGGCAAGGAATGAAGACTATGTGTTTATATACATATATGTACTAGATGGGATAACAAACATAGAACAAGAAGAAGAAACCAATATTTTCTGCAGTGCAGGGTATCTCTCGGTCGAGCAGTCTCCATTTGAAATGTATTTTGTTTTGCTATCGTTTGTTTTTATTGCTCGCCTCGTTTTGGGTTCACGCAGTGCACTGACGTCAATATATTTATTTATGTATCTGATCTATTCCACAGCACCTCACCACCATACCCTACGAGAACTGCGACAACTTGGCCGACTATTTGAGCCTGCAAAGAGCCGCCCAGGCGCGCATCCTGGAGTCGTCGCTGCCCACGACACAACAGCACATGTCGCTGCTCAAGTTCTTGGCCATTGTAAGTACCGGCTCGTTGGGTTCTGGTGGGTTGAGGTGTGGGCTCGTAAGGGGTTTTGATATTATGATGATCTTTTATGATGATCGAATCAATATCGATTCGATATTAACTGGCCGGCCATAAGGCAAAACAAACGCTAAAACGCTTCCTGCTTGCAGCCTCAGACAATAAGCGAACAATTGGCGTGCTGCCTGCATTAATTTCACATTACAATCATATAAACGAACGGCAGGGAGGAGGAGGAGGACGTTGCATATAATAAAAACAAATTTTTTTTTTTTGTTTTGTTTGTTTGATTATTTATAATCTTGAGCAGACGGCAAGCACTTCAATCTGCCCCCGATCACACACACAGCACATGCTATAGAAAATATGAAATGTTTAATTTCTGTTTTCATGAAACCAGTTCTCAAACAGATGCAACAATTTCATTAGACCTGTCCCTGTCGCTAGGTGCCCGATATCGCAGCGAGTGTGAAATATTATTGTCTCTTTATCAGTAGGTTTTTTGCACCCTTCTGATAAACACAATGGGCCATGGAACCCTCCATAAAATTCGTTTCAATACATTTTCGGATTTATTGCAGCATGTGATCGGAATAATGATTAGCCATGAATATTTAGCGTAAAATAGTCGTAGCTAGTTTAAATATTAATTAAAATCTTGACACTGGTTCTTTTAAATCATAAGTTATCAAGGTTCATCTCACTTTGTTATATCTGCAAGTTAAAGACTTAGTCCATTTTCTCCAGACACACTCGATATTAAAGGCCAATGGGGTTGATTTACGGAAAACAATAAAAATAATGATAATAATGTTTTCGAATTTCTATTTCACTTACAGAACGCTTTGGAACTGAGCGCACCTGCCACACCCTTGCTGCTGCAACAGCAACAACAACAGACACAAACCAAGCCACACGGCTGGATGCAGCTCTCCGGGCATCCCGAAAGGTAAGCAGTTCAAAAAGAACCTCCAAAAGAATTATAGTCTAATCAATCTCTTTTGCCTTCTCTTTCCGCTTTAGCATTGTGCCCACCACAACGGGCATTGTGCGCAAACGCATCGTTGGCATCGATGACAGCGAGGTGCTTGCCTATCAGATGATCTCGCAGGAGCCCAAAACCTCACAGATTGTGCCCGGCTACTTTGGACTGCGCGAGCTGCACTCACAGCACTATATCGAGCTGCAGGATCTGCTGGCGGGTTTCAAAGATCCGTGTGTGATGGACATTAAGCTGGGCACTCGCACATTTCTCGAGTCGGAGGTTAGCAACAAAACGCTGCGTCCGGATTTGTATCAGAAAATGATTGCCGTGGATGCCAGTGCACCGACGCCCGCCGAGCACGAGGCACAGGCGATCACCAAGCTGCGCTACATGCTCTTCCGCGAATCGTTATCCTCGTCACATAGCAAGGGCTTCCGTATTGAGGCGTTGCGTCTGCGCGGACGTTCACCGCTCAAGGATCTCAAGACTTGTCGCAGCAGCGAGCAAATCTCACAGACCATCGAACAGTTCCTGGCCGCACGCAGGTCCGTGCAAAAGGAGCTCCTGAAGCGGCTCAAGCACATGCGCCTCGTCATCGAGCAGTCGGCGTTCTTCAGTCGCCACGAGATCATCGGCTCCAGTTTATTTATTGTCTACGATGATCAGCGCGTCGGCGCCTGGCTGATAGACTTTGCCAAATCGCGACAGCTGCCGCCACAGCTGAGCGTCAATCATCGCAGTGCCTGGCAACCTGGCAATCGCGAGGAGGGCCTGCTCCGTGGCATGGATGAGCTGATACATGCCTTCGAGGAGGTCTATGCGCGCAGCGGCAATCATCGCAGCTGTCTAAAGATCTAAATTCCATACAAAGATGGATCCACAATTGCCCACAGCCACGCCCACCTACAGGCACATAAGACTGATTTGCACCACGTCCCATTTATAATTTGTACAGTGAGCAGAAATAGAAAATCATTGCATCAAATCCTGCATCATGCGACGCTTTTGAATATTTTCCACATTGGAAGCAAACACTAAGCGCCAGACCAGGACTTGTAGAGAATATATATGTGTATATATATATATACATATATACACTTATACTATATGTATAAAAACAAACGATTAGTATTGAGCACCAAGCAGCATTTGTTTGATTGAAAACAGGTTTAACTTGATTAAGTATTAACTTTAAGAAAGCGTAAAACAAAATGTACCCACTGTCAATTTGTACGCAAGTAATAAAAATCTCAAGAGAAAATAAGATGAAAATTTGAACTTGTTGTTTTTCTAAATACTATACATCAATATCCACGATATAGTATTAGTTTATGTTTTTTTTCTTAAGATGGTTTTCATCGATTGAATAATTTTTCCGTTCGGCGCAGAAGCAAACCTTAAGTTTTCCAGTTTTAATCCGTATTTCCACGTAGCTTTACAAAATTCCACGAAGTCGGGTGGGAAATTGGTGAAAAACAGTTATTTAACCCTTTTTTTAACCGATTCACCTTTGAACTGATTTCCAAAGACCTTTCTGCTTCAGGCATTTCGAAAGATCCATGAACTTGGATGGAAACTGCCGTGTCTCAGGGTATTTTTATCCAATAAGCCTTAAGTATTCTATGCTAGTAACACTTGCTTATATAGAATCGATTTAAGCTGAAGCCCGAGCACGTTGCGGAACCAAATTTGAGTTCCGCAAATATCAAACGATTTCGGAATTAGAAACAGGTCTGCTAACCCAACATTTGCCTACGTGTTTCTATTTATAAAATAGCTGAAAAGGTGCAACGACTTAGTCGAATCGCGTATTTAAAGTTTGAATATAAATGCTCCCAAATCAAAAATCGAATGGAATCGAAAGTAGTTTACAAAATGAAACAATTAGGTATATAACTTCTTCAAGGTACTTAATTATTATATATATAGAGTAAATCGTAGCATAGCATTAAATAAATAACTACATGGTGCATATAAAGTGATCTGCATCGATGCTGGAATAAATGTGGCCCTCAGAGATCATAAAGTCCAGAATGTTGCTGTGGGTTGAAATTAAGTAAACCATAAGTAAAGAATTTAATGCATAGGTAAACACAACTCACTTCATTTCGGATTGGCTTATATGAGAGAACTTGGCATTCAGTTCGCGTCGATGGATGCCCTCCTCGGAGCAGTTGCTCTTAATGGCCTGGAAGACGGCCAGCTGCTTGCTGTCCAGGCCAGCAACAATGGCATTGCTTTGGGTGGCAGTTACATTGGTCATTAGCGTGTTGCTGGCGCTTGCTGTATCGCCCTTGGCATGGTACTCCTCAGCCTTGTAACGCGAATGCAGCGCCTCCAGAATGTGGGTGCAAACCTCATTGGGATCTAGCACATTTATCAGCTTGAAGACCATCAGAACTTTTTGGCCCGCCTGCGAGCGCACTGAACCATATATTTTCACATAGTTATTAATCATCACATCGGGCGACTTGATAGCATCGCCCTCCTCCAGCCAGTAGTGTGCATCAATGCGTCCACTGTGATCCTCCAAGGAGTATGTGATCTTCGTTGAGGATGTCTCAATGTTGCGCACAATTCCCACGGCGCATACCAAAGCGTAGGTAACATCGAACATCTTGAAATTGCCCTCGGGTGAATCAAGAATCTGCTTGACCAGCAATGAAATAATACCCTGAACAATATAAATATTAATTAGGGCTTGAGAAGAGTTAGTTGCGAACATTAAATTTACCTCGCCGGAGGCTTCCTTTGTTGCGCCGGCTGTGGCCGTTTGTGTGGCATTGAAATCTCCAACTAAGGGAATACAATGTTAAACTACAAGTCGTCAATATGGTAAGCAACAACTTACAGGAATCGTTCATTTTGTTTAAGTATGATTTATAATGTATTAATTCAACAAATTTCACAAGCTGTGTAAGCAACAAAACGCGCCAAAACACTAATGCGGGCCCACACACGTCACAAACAACCCGGACGTGCAAACGATAGTATCGAATCAAATAAAAAATGCCAAATTGCAGTTTTCTTAGCGTTTAAGAAGTCGTAACACTAGTTTATTGGCTAGTGGCTTAATATGGTTGTCATATACCATTTTTATTCAATATGTCTTCTTCAATATGTCACTGCATTTGTTGCTGTCATCAAGTATGTCCTTAAGATTTCATCGGCTGTATCGTGTACGTGTGCTGCCACTTAGCCTACAGAGCTGCCAGCTGGTGTTAAAAAAATGGTGGGCGTCAGTGTGAAGTGTTTTGGCGCCGGAAGCTTTCATTTCGCGAAAATTTAATTAACATATTATCCGCAAGTCCTCGAATTATTAAGATATAATTATGTGTGCTTATCTGTCTGACCTGCGGGCATGACTATTCAATTGAGAAATTGCAACAGTTTCCATATTTTCGTTGCATACAATATAAAAGTTTGGCGGTGCACCTGGAGCACCAACGGCTTCTTGCTAGCCAGGAGCTGCGCGCATACCCATTCCAAAGTGAGTATATAACTTGAAAATTTTATTTGTATAGATTCTTGATCATAACTACGAGCTAAGTCGATGTAGCTCTTTGGCTACAATTGAATGGCAATTTAAATAAAAACAAATAATATTACAAAAATTCTCAATATCTGTAAACATATTCAATGTTCGTCAGCGGAAAGAAAACTGTTATTTTTCTTTTTTTAAATTTATTTTATTTAACATAGTTTATTTTATTTGATTTATTAATAAATCTTCAATTTATTTTTTTCTGCCAGAAATAACGGATCTATGCCTGATTAATTGGCGGCTGCATCGTGTACCAGTGTGGCCAGACAGATGACAGAGCTGCCAACACGTGTCAAACAACAGCTGAGCGTCGATGTGCAATTTGTGGCGCCTGTTATTTTACACCTTCTGTAAACCGCTGAATTATTTGGATACATTAAAATGAACACGCTGCGGCCGTGCGGCTGCAAAGGTGTGCGCACCTGCCTCACCTGTGAGCAGGACTTCCAAATCGATAAACCATCTCTGCAGCAGCAATTGCAACAGCTGGAATCCTGGTCCTATTGCACACAATGTGAACGTCTATACGCCGGCTGGGACACGCAGGCGGTGCAGGCGGCACATCCGGATCACAATTTGGCTGAGAGTCTGCCACTGCCAGGGATATTGGTGCAGGAGCAGTTTCTCACGAGCGCAGAAGGCGCACAGCTTATGTCCGACCTGGACGCGCTGCCCTGGGCCATTTCGCAGAGCGGTCGACGCAAACAGAATTACGGGCCGAAAACCAACTTTAGGAAGCGTCGCCTCCAATTGGGTGCCTTCGAGGGCTTTCCCGCTGCCACACGCTTTGTGCAGCAACGCTTCGAGTCGGTGCCGCTGCTGCGCAACTTTCAAACTATTGAACAATGCTCGCTGGAGTATGATCCCAGCAAGGGCGCCAGCATAGATCCGCATGTGGACGACTGCTGGATATGGGGCGAGCGTGTGGTCACCGTCAATTGCCTCGGCGATGCTGTGCTCACGTTAAACCTCTACGAGGAGCACCAGGCTAGCAAATATAACTTGGACTTGGTGCAGCAATACAAAGCACAGCTGCTGGCGCCGCTCTTGTCGCCGGACCAGCTGGCGGCCTACAAGGGCAAGGTGCTACGCATACCCATGCCAAAGTAAGTATCGGATTATGATCCCTGCGTCCACATCTTATAAAAATGTAAATCTCTTTCTTCGAGTCGATGTTGAAGCATATTAGAGCTAAGTTTAGACAAATACCCAGTATTTGGGTTAAATGTTATTATGAAGTTTTAAATGTTTAGTCTGTTGAAAGCTTGTACAGTCCGCGTGTCTGTCTGATTCTTCGCAGACGAATCTTTTAGCTTAGCCTGCAGAGGGCCATCCTTTTGTAGCAGGCAGCAAATATGTCAAGCTCAGCCGAATTGACAATATAGTTCCTATAGGGTATCACCCGAGTCGAGCACTTTTGACTAGAACACTCGAACTTGTTCCGAGTTGCATGTGCAAAGCGAAAACCCATTGACCCTTTTCTTGATCCCTTGCAGCCTCTCGCTGATTGTGCTCTATGGACCGGCGCGCTATCAGTTCGAGCATGCGGTGCTCCGCGAGGATGTTGATGAGCGACGCGTTTGCATTGCGTACCGAGAGTTTACGCCCATGTATATAGATGGCTTGGACAAGCAGCAGGGCGATTTGGTAAGAGAAAAATCACATTTATTTTGGTCATTAAAAACAAACTGAATTGAGATTGGAAAATGTGCAGAGATGCAAATCTGCAACTCTCTGGCAATTGATTTATTATTTATCATATTCGACGCTCTGCCGCTGGCCGTTCTCCCTGCGCGCCGGTCGATAGTCGAGCAGGGCCACTTGGGCGGGCAGCTGGACGCCGTGCATTCGCTTGAGATGGGCACGCAAATTGCTGCTGGTGCTAAAGCTATTCAGGCAGACGACGCACTGATGGCTATTCGCATGCTTGTCCCGTATGTGGGCATTCAGTTCCTTCACCTTGACAAAGGCTGTGGTGCAGTATTTGCAGACATGCGACCGGCGCACATGCGTTTTGAGGAACTGCTGGGAAGCATAGGCCAGCGGGCAGTATTTGCATTTGTAGATGGCCTGGCTGCCGCTGGGCTCGGTGTCCAGCAGGCGGTTTGTTTCATTGTATTCATCCAGATTATCGTGCTTTAGCTCAACGGCTGCATAGTCCAGTGTACGTAGCTCATAGCTGGGAAAATGCGACAGATTTTGGTCCATTTCGGCTTGCTCCTGCTCGTCCAGTTCGGTGGCGGGCAGAAATTCCGATACAATCAGCGAATCCTCGTTGGCCAAACGCTGTGGTGGACGTGGCAGGTCCAACATCATTTGCTCCGGGTCTAGCTGCTGTGACTGCTCGTCCACGTTGACTTCTATCAGCTGAACGTCACCCTCCAACTCCAGCTCCAGCTGCTCCCGCTCCAGCTGCGCCTCGTTATAAAGCTGACGCAGCTGGCGATTGGCAATCATCAGCTTGCTGAAGTATGCATAGTGCATGAGGCATTCCTCCAGGCAGGCATTGCATATCATGGGCAACTCCGATGACAGGTCCAATGAGATGTGCTGTGCCGGGCATAATGCATTTTAAATATTAATGTTGTTATTATTAATTCTGTGCACCTACAAATATGGACTGCATTATTTCGCATATTGTGTGCTCCTCCTCCTCGGCGTCTGCGTCGATTGTTTGGCTCGCTGTCACTACTTTGTGTTGCGTTATGTCTATGTCGGCGTTGTCCACAAAGCAAATGCGGCACAGTTTGCGCAGGTCTATGTTCATGTTATTTCTTAAATTTTATTTCAACAATTTAATGAATTCGTTAAATTTGTGTTGCATTTAAACAAATTTTGCTGGCTTTGTTTAAACAGCTGTTTAACCAGGGCTTCTAAGTAACCATTTAGTTAACGCAAAGGCAAGCTGTTAGCTACGCACTGTAAAGTTACAGTACATATCGATAACATGTTTGTTGAGCTGTTATATGGCATAAGGACATTTATCGTAGTATTGGACATTTTAAAAAAAAGTCCAACCAGCACTTATATTCAAAAACATAACGTTAATTTCTTCTATTAAAAACGAATATATCTAAAAGAAATTTTACGTGGCCCTGTAATTGCCCGAAAGAAGTAAAATTCGTATTCTCTTTTCAAAATAAATTTTATTCAGTTTTTTCATGTTTTTTTTTTTGTTTTTGTTTATGTTTTGTCGCATTCATTTCTCTCGATTTTTAAGGTTAATTTACTATTTAAATCATTTAATTCCGTTTCTGCTTACAATTAATTATTATCGTCAATGTGACGAAAGTTATTTGTCTGTCAATAATACTTATCGACAACAGACTTTTTTTATGTTGCTAATTTGGATTTCTTTTGTTTTTTTGTTTTTGTGGCTTATAAACTTTATCTTTACATGCATTAATTGGGTTTTCATTTTGAGTTTACACAATTTGCGGTAACGATTTATTGTTAATTATGCAATTAGCTATTTAAATTGAATTGGTAGTTTTTGGGGAAACTTTTTTTATAGGCGTTGGGATTTATTTAACGGTTTTCTTTTGGTGAGTTTTAGTGCTTAACATTTGCAGTTAATAGCCTAGTTTTTTTTTAGTTAAATGCTAATATTAATTATATCATGTTTTAAAATGGGTACCGATCTTTCTGGTTTATGCTCTTTTGAGACTTTAGTTCTTCTTCGTCTTTAAGCTTAGCTGCGTAGATGGGCAGCAGTAAAAAGATATCGAACAAAATGTAAAACGGAATTGTCTGAATTTTGCGAGCTGCTCTTTATTTGAATAAGACAAATGTGTGTGTGTATGTGTGTTGCATGTGAGTGTGTGTGTGCCAACCTTTTGTTTCTAATAAGCATTTAGTGTAACTCTGATCAGAAGAATAGTAATTAGAGTTTTTGGTTTTTTCTTATTTTTGTTAAACTTTTAGCAAATGATAAAACATTTTTTTTTACTACAACTTGCCATGTGAGATGTCTTTTTTTTTTGTAACATATTACGTTTTGCTGTAATTTTAAATTCGTTTTTTTTTTCTTCAAGTTGTCCTCTCCTAATGTAGGACGCTTACTTTATTTAACTTTAGTTTTCATTTTTGTTTTTGTTTTTTTTTTTTAATTGCCTATTTAATGCTATAGTATTATAATACATACATGTAGACTTCAATCTTTTAAAGAGTGTAGAAAATGGTTTTTGCTTTTTTAAAATAGCTTCTTTTTATCAAAAAGACATACATACACACATATATATATATATATATATATATTTATATATATATATATAAATAGATAGTAGTTCTAATTATGCGCCTAGTTGCTCGAAGTTAAGCACTAAATTAATTATAAAAAAATTAAATACTTTCTAAACGCTTTTAATTCCAATTGAATTTCATTGCTAATTGCGCGAATTGCAAAATATATCAAAGGGTATTTCAATGAGAATAAATAAAAATTAAATACATTTTTATTGATCCTTTTTTTGAAACAACCTCAGGGGGACAGAACAGTTATCGGTAGTCAAAAATTACATTATATCAAATGCAAAATGAAATACACAAATCGAGTGCCCTGTAAGTATATAAAAAGTCGTATAGCCTTCAGATCTTTAGTTCAGCTCACACTTCAGAGTGTGTGTGTGTGTGGGTGTGTGTGTGTGTGGGTGTATTTGTGTGTGTAAATTGATTAAGCATTTGAGTGTATATATTAATGGGTATTCCTTTTACGATTTTAAGTAAAATTACGTCTGGCAAATCAGTGAGAGGGAGAGAGAGAGAGAGCGAGAGTTGGCACAATTCTGTTAGAAATTTCTAGTTGGGTGAGACAGAGATAGACAGAGCTTCAGTAATCGGGTGGGATAAACATAAGTACAGATTGGAGTTAGTTTTATGTGGGATATATAGCGAGTATGTGCGAGTTTATACGGCAGTGTTTACGAGACATTTTCAACAGGTGTTTCGCTTTAACAAGGAGGTAGGTTCTTTTTTTTGTTTTTTTTTTTTTTTTAAGTATATTTGTTCATTCTTTTGGTTTTTGCGTAGAAAAGATGTACATTAAAAGGTTTTTATAGGTGGGTCTTTGAAAAGTTTTACAATCTGGGAGCGTTTTAACCGTAAATATCACTGTTTCGCTTTGTATTTATTTGCTTGAAAACTAATTTGTTTTTAGCTAGGATACAAATCGGAAGTATAACCAAATGTTTGAATAGAGAAATACAAAAAAAAAAAATAAAGACATAACTCATAATTGGAAAAATGTTTGAAAGTTTCCAACAAAATTGTGTTGTTGTTTTTGCAGTATTATTGGTTGTTTTTGGTTGTTCTTGGATTGCTAAGTGTTTGTAGTTGTTGCTTCCGTTTTCCGTTTTATTAAAAATATATCTGTATACGAGTTAATGCGGTGATATATGTGTCATAAAATATATATACACCAGCGTTTATTATTTATTTATACTTTCCATAATTCGTATTGCTAGTTTTGTTTTATTTATTTCTTGATTTTGGTTTTCATTTGACTAATTTTCGCTTTTGCATTTAATTGGTGACTATAACTTGTGTTTCTTTTTCGGTTTTCTTTTTGCTTTGAATTATTTTTTTGGTATTCTCTCAATTTGCTACAACATTTCAACAATAAATTTTCTAAAAACAGCGTTTGTTCAATGAACATCTTCTCAAAGTATTTGTTCTGTTTTTATTCTTATTTATTTATATTTAGTTTTTGTATGCGCGTTTTTAAAAATTAACTATATGATACTATATTCTTTTTTTATTTTTTATATATATTTAATTATATTTATTATTATGTGTCAGTTTGTTGCCATTTACGCCCCACCTAGATGCTATCCTAAACACACACCTTACACACACGCTCAACGAAATTTATTGTTTTTTTACAACAATTTATACAAATTTCTTTAAACAAAAAGTTTGCACGTACCTAAACCTTTTACGACTTATTGAAAAAATACGTTGAATGAAATAAAAATAAAATAAAATAGATGTGAATATAAAAGACAGTCTAGTTTGGTAGAAAACAAAACCTTAATGAAAAAATAGAAAGATCTTTCATTAGATAAAATATTTTTAAAAAAATTTAAATAATATTTTGCCTTGGTCCATGTGATGTAAACACAAGTTTAAAACTACAAAATGTAGTTGAATGAATTATTTAATAAAGAATGGATTTTGTAAGGTTTTTGTCCATTTCTGATTTTCAAACACTTTCACTAATAAAATGGCTGCTGTCCCTTGTTATTTGCATTACTCAATTAAGTGCTTGAGTGTGTGTGCGTGTGTGTGTGTGTGTGTGTATGTGTGAGTTTTAAATACATATCTAATGTCTCATAGGAACAATCTCTCTTATATACATACATATAATGTATTCGCTTCTCTTGCCGTGTGTGTCTCTGTGTGTATGTGTGTGTGTGTGTGTGTGTGCTAACATGCATAAATTATAACAACTCAGCGTAATTAACTAATAAGTTCCTCATTGTACATACACACACATATATATGTATATATAGTATGTATGTACATGTGTGTTACATGTGCGCACATAATTGCTTAATCCTTTTTGTTCTCTCTTTCTGAAACGTTTTGTTTAGTAATTTGTTTTTGCTATTACTATGCAAATGCTTATTTTGTTTTCTTTTTTTGTGTTTTGCTCTTTACTTGGTAACTTTTTTCTTTTCTTGTCTCTTAACTTAGACAATTAACTTTCATTTATTTGGTTTACTTTGTCTTGTTTTTTTTTTTTTTTTTGTTGTACGGCAGTAATTTTTGCTTTGTTTTTTGTTGTTGTTTTTTGTTTTTCATTTTCATAAAATATTTGTTTAGTACACACACGAATTGTGTAATTTAATTTAACATTTCATATGCGAAATTTTCTTGAGTGTGTCTTTTGCTTTTCTAGCATTTTCTCGCTTGCGTTTCTTATACTTTGACTTAAAAATGTAATTAACAATTTTTTAATTTATTTTATTTTGCTTTTTTGCAAAGCAGCTTCTCTAGTTGTTGTTTTGAAAAAGAACTTAACTAGGCATCCTCACATATACAGCATGCGTCGTATATGTGTATGTGTTTATCAGTGTGAATGCGTGTGTGTGTGTGTAGCTTAACGTGTCTAAATTGAGCGGCCTTATTGCACGATTATGTGAGGAGCTGAGAGCAGAACGGTTACCGTTGCAATAATCGTAAAGAGCGTAAAAACAATTAAACAAAATCTGTGAAGTAGAAGAAAATACAAAGATAAAGTTAGATTAAATATATATAGAGTATACGTATGGGCCAAGTCTTATATATATACACACACACACACACACACACACACGCTTTTATGTACATTTCCCAACAACAAAATGGCGTCAATTGTACACCTACCGCCATGCTTGTTTATTAATGCCACGTGCTGTGCATGTGTGTGGGTGTGTGCTTGTATGCTAGAGCAAATAACCGGAAGTTGTGTGGCCATGCGGCTGTTGCCTTAATTGTTTGATTTAGTACAGCGTCAGGCAGTTCTTAGTAACCGCACTGTTTGCAGTCACTCTGTTAGTTATTTACTAGATTTATGTCACTATATATTAGACGGGCAGCCAGGTTATTTGGTTCAGGGTAATCACAGATTTTCCCTAGCTTAAACTCATAATTCTCATGTAAATGTCTAAATCGAAATGAATGTGCTGAAAGGCCAGACATTCATTTAATTTTCTAGTAAGCTGGTATATATTTTTGAATCATTATGATATATGGGAACAGAAATAAAATGCTAGTGTAATGATAATAACAATAATTATAATAATGATGATGATGATAATAATAATACAAATAATAGTAATAAAAATAATAATAATAATATAAAATAATAAATATTATCATAAAAATAATGTCCGGAATAATAATAATAATAATTATAATAATAAAATTAATAATAATAATAATCATGATATTTTCTTTAAACTTTAAGTATATTATAAAAATTACCGATTTGTTATCGATAATTTAAAAATGTTATTTCACAGAAACTGACCAGTTTCTTATATTGCCTGACAAATATATTGCCTGACAAATATAATAAACTGCGACCTAAACTAAACCGTTAGTACTAAACAATTAGTATTAAAACAAAACTAAATCGGAAACTAGTTAATCAAGAAATATGATTTCGTAAAAGTTGTGATATTAGATTCGTCAATGCATTAGTAACCTTGAATCTAAAATTCTTATTTTGAGAATCTATTTTTCCACCTGGTTCGGTTTTTTTTTTTTAACCTTGGCCTATTGTATCCCGATTCGTTTTAAAATTTTAAAAAATTGTAACCGACTGCTGTTGGGAAAAAATACTCGAGTCTTATTGATAACTTGAAAGTTTTTAAAGGTTCGAAAATGATTAGAGCATTTCAAACAAACGACGAGAATGTTGCCCACTGCAGGAGTTTAGCTAATGTGGGTTTAAATCGCCCCAAAAGAAAAGTATATCTGTTTTCATTTTAGCAATCAGAATAGAAAAATTTGTATTCCTATATGCAAGTAGCTGAATTATTTAGCTATTGTTTATCTCTCGTTTCGATAACTTACCTATCCACAACCATTGCAGCGAATTTCCAATCGCTTATCAATTCCGCTTCATCGTCAGCTTTGCGCATGCGTGACGTTATAAATTGCAATTCTTTGAGAATTAAGTGTAAATCTTTGTGATTGCAACCTATTGCAGTGTGATGCTCCTCCACCGTTGTGGGTCGGCCAAAGCTACTACAGTATCGATAAAAAGTTATCGATTTACAAATTTAAAAATCTTTTGAGTCGAAAAAAGAAACTCAATACTTACGCCGACGAGCCGATGGCGGTTTGTGAGCCTGATATTGTATGACGAAAATCGTCATCGATATCAAGAACATTGGCTAGTAAGGATTTGGAAGATCGTTCCTTCAGCTCCAGCTCTTTCATGCGATTGCTTAATAATATTGACTTGCGCGTGATCTTGCGACCAGGCCGACCCATGCGCAATATCCAGGGCAGCCATTGTAGGAAAACGGATTTGATCTGCGAAAAAGTAGCAACGCTTTAGTATTCAATTGGGGAATTCCTTTGGGTCTCTGACATACCCACGGTGGCATCTCGTGTATATCCGCTGTGCGATGATGATAGTTGAGCACCACAACCGTAAGCACCACAGACGACGCAACCATGAACATGATACAGTTGAAATATGTACCTGAGTGTCGTTGTGTAGCAAACAAACAAAAAGAGAAAAAGTTTTATCCAATATTAGTATTATACGCTCGATGGGTCTACATAAAATTGAGCAACACTAAAAACAGAAGCTTTAGAAATAAAAATGTACAATAAAAACAGCATTTGCATTACGTTTCTTAATTTGTAATATCATGATAAATAATAGAGTACTTTTGAGAATTTGCGAGTGTGTCATACAAATGCTGTGAGCGATACTATACGACATTTTACAGGGTATTTGCACATGCATTACGGCTTAGACGCTGTTTTAAGCGTTTCACATTTAGTTGAACATGCTTTGACATGCCGTTAAGATCAGTCGGTTTATGCGTGTCGTTCATGCATTATTCAAAGTAATGGTTTACGTTTTGCGTAGAAAAGTCAGCCATGTAGTCAAAAAATAGGTATATAAAACAAAAATATATAAAATATAAATGATCTATTTCCTTGACATTTGCAGAATATATAGTTCAAAGTACTTTATATTTATGAAAAAGTTTTGTATTTATGTAATTTAATTTGGAAAAATATTATTCTTGTAGTCTTTTAATGTTTGAAATATGTTAGAAAATGTATTACTAATGTGCGCTGAGCTGCCAGTGAAACGTTGCGGTTGCCAGTAAAACGTTGCGGCTGCCTGTCTAAAGCGCGTAAATGCAGGAGTATAAGAGTTCTTATACGCGTAACATGTGCATGTATGCGTGTGAATAGGCAACTTATAGAAGGCTTGGGGCTTTATGCTTAGTAATAAATATGACTATATTTTGGCAATATATATATATTAATTGGTTACTTGCATGTAATAGAAAGTATGTGCGGAAAAATACTAATAATTTATTAAAAAAAGGATTTTTTTTTAATACTTTACAAAGTTTTGAAATCTAATTTTAACTTGTATGTCGTTGCTCGATTATATTATTTTGACTACTTGACTGTCTTTTATGGTTTACACAACATTAAAAAGATTACAAAAAATAAAAATTCATGCATTTATGATATATAAGCCATTTTTAAAAGTATAAAATGTGAGTTTATGATGATTCAATTGCTCTGGCAAACAAATTGTATTTATTTTATTATTGTATTATATGTTTTTTTTTTTGGAATTTTTAGTTGAATGTTGTTCATGGGTTTATAAAAGGAATTATTTATGGTATGCTTTCTGTATATATTTAAAAGATGGTTTAAGTAAAAATTGTAATTGATTTAAGGCGCTCGACCGCTTACGTTACGCTTACAATTTCTGAATATTTAGTCAGTTTTTGATACTTGGATGTGAGGAATTTTGTAATGTTTAATTTATACAATATATTTGTATATATAGAGTATTACTTAAAGCATAGCTTGCATACGAGTATTGCATATGTAATTAGTTAGTTAATGGGTTTATTTTTTTGATTAGAATGGGGGCGTGGCAAGCAACTAAAGCAAAGCACCCGCAGTCAGCTTGTGTTTGTGTTAAAGTGATTACGAGAATTTTGAATACCCTTGCAGTGGGCATTATGTTTAGGTAAGAAATTATCGTGTCAATTAATTTTGGTCTATATGAATCGGAATCGGTTGGCAATTTGCGTCTAGTATTGGTTCGATTATTAATTATTTATTTCAAGTCAAGTCAAATATTCGTTCGATAATTGTCTAAAAAGATTTACTTTATAAATACAAATAATATTTTCAACGTAAAGCAAAAAGATCTTAACAAAAACTCTAGCTAGAATTTATTTATAGATCAAAATAGATTTTTAACAGTCAGATCTACTCTGTCTTGAGACCTGCAAGGGTATTTCAGTTTCGGCTAGCCGAAATCAAGTTTTTGTTGCTAGTTGTTGTTTTTCTGGTGAACGCTGTAGTTACTTTTAGTATTATTTTTTTATTTTTTATTTGTCAGCATTCCACTTAACAAGAGAATATAAAGTGAAAAGAGGTTCAGCCAAAGTCTAAAAAAGCATTTGATACGGTTGTTTGTTAGAGGGGGCGGCGGGCGGAAAGTGGGGCGGGGGGTGGGGAGTTTTGTTGGGTTAAGCTACGGCAGCCATAGGAAATATTTTGCTTTTTGCATTTGTTATCCTTTGGAGTTGTACGTCATGCTCTCGTTAATTTCAGTTTTTTGTTCAGTTTGTACCTACTTTAAACGCACTGCAGAACAGCCTGCAGTCGCTCTAATTATTAAATTTTGTACAATATATATAATAATTTTGATACTTTGTTTTTGATTTAAGATTTTAGTCAGCTGATTTTTTAGATTTGAAAACATTTTTCGTTTGCTACATTCGTTTGATTTTTTTTTGGTTTTGGTTAGCTAAAAGAGAAAAATAGTTTTGGTTTTTCTTATAGAGCGCTAAGAATTTGTCAGGAGTTGTAAATTGTTTTTTTTTCTTTTCAAATGATATAGCATAACAATTAGAATTAGTTTTTAGTAGTACCTAGCAGCGGTACGGCCTCGCTCGTCTTTGTTATGACATTGCCGACCAATAAAGAGAAAACTGTTTGCGACAGCAGAATTGTAACACCTGCAAATAATTGATTCGAAAACAATTGTTTTTTTTTATAGTAGCAAAATTTGAGAAATCGGAGAGAACCATATATTGAGGGATTGAAGTTCGCTTTAGGCAGTTTTTGATTTTCGATGGTGGCGTCGCGTCTTTAAATTTGGTTTAGCTCTAAAAAGTTGTATAGTTTGGTATGATCAACAGATTTTAAAGTTATTTGAGTGAGAGAGGGAGGGAGAGAGAGAGAACAGGAGGGAGAGAGAAAGAAAGTCTGCTGACTGGAGCTGTGCATAGATAACTGGAATCCATATTTATATACAATTTATTCAAAGAAAAAAGATCTAATAAAGCTAAATAAAGTTACTTTTTGAAGAGTTTGCTCTATATACGATCTTTAAAAACTTAAAACAAAATTTTCTTTTAACTAGAAATTTTACATATTATTTAAAGCTTCTTTCCGATCTGAATACTTTCTTGTAAAATATTAGTTTAAATTATTCTGTAATATTTTTATTTCTCCTGTTATATGTACAGCTCCTGCCAGTCTAGACTTCTAAATTAGACAATTGCTAAATGATATTTTTTGGCTGAACCTTTTTTTTAGCTTCGTTCTGTCAAGGAAGACTAGATATATTTTTTTAAACAAAGCCTGTGGGTGCATTTTCGAGGCTCTCAGTGATATGGAACATATAGTACTTTAGACTATATTAACACAAGTGTTTATTATTAAGTTTTGTTGTTTTGTTTATAGTTTATTTGGTATTATTGCGTTTTGTTATGGCAGTGCAATTTATGGGTTCTTTAAGCAAAAATGAACAGCAAGCGAATGCAGAGATACAAATTCTTGACCCATTTGCACAAACCAAACTGAACGCTGGATATCTTAAAAACGAAATGATATTTTTTTTATACTGCAGCAAATTATTGTTTAATATATATATCGAATTGTTCAAAAAGGTTCTCGAGCAAAAAATATCATTCCGAGAAATGGGTCAAAAAAGTGTAAAAATAGTGAAGAAAGCAATGATAGTAAGAATAAAGCGTCTATAGCATAAAACTAAAATCAACTTGTATGGATAATATGGAAATTTACTAGTTTTGATATAATTGGAGTGGACTTGGTGGAGATTTGGTTTTCTGAAGTGGTTTTTTCTGTGTTTTTTTAAGGCTATGCGGTGAGCGTACGAAATTTGTGATACTTGAGAATAGTTTTATTTAAGAACAATATGCTTTGGAACGAGTGGAACAGTTGGAACGGTGGAACGTTGGAACAATAGGTGTACATATATAGTATATATATATTTATAAATATATATATATATCATATGGTGATGCTATGCGTATTTAACTTTACTAAAACAATGTGACTTGGCATGAGTGAGTGAGAGCGAGAAATCAAATATGAATTAAGTACAAATCAAGGCTATTTGCAAAAATAGTTAAATAATACCATAAGAATAAAACATCTTTCTTTCTTTCATCTTCATCGATCGGCGACGATTTAAGTGACGATAATATGCGATAGTAGCTATCGGCATTTCATTCTTTTAAAAAATTTCACAATATTTCACAAGTATTTTCCCAAACTCACTTGTATTGAAATCTGTCTCATAAGTATCTTTTGTAATAACATATTTATTTTGAATTGAGTTACATAATTGCGAAGTGGAAATAAGTACAAATTGTGTGTACTTTATTTTAAATATTGGAATAATTGCTAAAAAGTATATTAAGAAGCTGGAAAATCTATATTTTTGTTGAATAATTACAAAACTAAGTTTTTGCTTTTCATATATAGAAAGGGTGTGTATAGTTTTTTTTAATGCAATAGAACTTTGCTAGAGAGGGGTAGATTTAAAGAGCTTAAAGATTGAGAGATATTTCGAAATATGCTATATTTGGAGATAGTTATGATATGGAATGTGAAGAGAGATATAAATTGTTTTATACTTTTTGGCACTGGTTTTGAGTAGAAATAAACATTTCAATAATTATCCAATTTTAACTAATAAAATTTTCAATAATTTTTAGAACTGCTCTCAAAGTGTATTCACGAGTATATTATGAAATTAAGAAATAATTTATAATTGGATATTATAGGATTCCGTGGATTGCAGAAATATAGTTTAAAAAAAACGGACGACAAAATCGAAATCGGAAATACTTGGATATTTAATTGTTCTATTGCTTGAAACAACACCAAAATTTGATTCAGGAAAATTGGAAAATATTGAAGTGAATTGAAAACATTGGCGTAGCTTTTCGATTATTCATATGTGCTGAGTAACATTTACTATATAGAAGAATATATTGTATAGTAGTTAGTATGTTAGCCACGTGCCAATGGCAAGTGAAGAAGTTAAAGAGAAAGTTCAGTTAGGAGTTTATAGATCAGAAGTGTTGATAAGTAGATAACGATAGCATTTAAAAGATTTCTTGTTCGGGTTGACGTTGCTCAATTTAAGGATATTTGCTGGGGTCTTTATTTACTTTATTTTTGTATATCTGGGGAAGACAATGCTGTAGCACTTTGCTTTGGTATGTATACCGAAAACTTTTGACATTCTTTTGTTTTTTTTTATATATTTTTAAAAAAGCGAACGAAAAATATTGAAGAGCGAGAGAGAGAGAGAGAGAGAGAGACGGAGTATTTTGTAAAAGAGAGATAGCAACATAATAATATGATCAACTAAGAAACGACGTCATTATCATATATATATAGAATATTTAAAGTTCAATTTGTAGAACAAGATAGACAGATAGATAGTTAGTTAGTTGAGTTGGTTTAGTTTAGTTAGTAATTTAAAACTTGTTGTAATTAGTAAACATAGTACGAAGTACACAAATAACATTTAACAACTTTTGGCACTTTTTGTTGACTTTTGGTTTTGGTTTTTTGTTAGACTAATATTTTATTTAAGTTAAGATTTGTGATTTTTTTTTTTTTTTGGTTTTTAATTAAGGATTACATATGCGAACAATTTAGCAATGTGTGTGAGTAGAATCATAATAGATATATATATATATAACAACAATAACAATAATATTTATGAATATATATAGATATATATATAGTATATGTACGTATATATAAATCATATTAAGTAATTTGTTAATTAATGTTTTTTTTTTGTTTTTTGTTTTTTTGTTTGACAAATTTGAATATATATTTGCATTTTTATGAATTTTTTTTAAATGCAATCGCTACCTAACAAGGGGATTGCATCAGATACTTGGGGCAATGTCTCAGCTACAAGGTTGAGAAACACTGTGAGCGATAGAAGAATTGTAACTCCTGAAACAAAAGAATTTCGTTTGATAAAATACAATTGAAATGATGAGACACGAAATTATAAATTAGAAAACGTATGTGTGTAGTTTGTTGTGACGTAAATGAAACTTAAAAAACAGACATATTCAAGGGCATTTTCACAAGTTTGTTGTTGTCCTAGTTGCTGTTGTTCTTATTGTTGTTGTTGTTGAAGTTGTTCTAATTGTTGTTGTTTTTTTTAAATAGTGTTCATTTGTTGACATAGCGTAAGAGATTCGTTTTTCGTTCAGCCGTTTGTTTAGTATCTTTTGTTCTTGTTGCGCTCGGTATTTTTGTAGTATTTTTTCATGGTTGACCAAATTTGTTGCTTTTTAGTTTGTACTTTTAGTAGTTGCTTTGATTTCAATTTAATTCTCAATGAAGTGTGCTGGCATGTGATGAGTATATGCTTTGTATATGCTTTGAAACTCAAAATCGTGGAGGGCGGGTCAAGGGGTCCAGGGATCTGGGTCACAACTCAAGCGTTCGTAAAGTGAGGAATCATTTGTCTGGGGTTTATAAGTATATGTACACACAATTCATAAATAATACCAAACAGTTGGTTTAAGCTTCATCAAAGTTGATTATCTTGCAAGTCATGTTGTGAAAATTTTAGAAGAGAAATAAATTAAGGCGAAGTTTATATGTGGCATATTGTGGAATATTTAAAAAATATTTATATATTTCTACTCTCTTGAGTACCGGAATATTACTTTTTTTAAGCTTAACGGTCTGTATTAAGTATTTAGGAAAAGATTTGGCATATCTACAAACCCTATTTTATTTGCTTGTATCTTTAATTTGATTTTCCCTTTCGTCTGTTCCTTACACTGCCAAAAAGGCTGTGTTAAAAATATGAGTAGGACTCGTTCGGTACAGTTGTTCTTAGATAGATCTTCAGCTGGAACCGGCTGGAACGTGGAACACTACTTAATATGTTATCAAAAGTTTCATATCTTAGTACATAGCCTTCGTTTATAGATAAGACATAATAGGAATGAAGATTCTTTCATATTACAGCTCGCATCATTTTCCAATGAAATTTTAGCGGACGAAGTAAAAAGTGATGTATAAAACTTTTTCTTCTCGGTCAGATTGTATTTTAGAAAAAGAAAGAGAAGAGTAGCCACAAAAATGTATTTATTCTTATCGAAAGTTTATTTCTTTTCACATTTAAAACCTTCAATTATATTTACATGGTTAAATTTCAACTACACAACCTTCTTACCCTCCTTGGGCTATGGGGTAAAGGTGTCATCAACTTGTGCACACTGACACAAGTACTAAACATTTTGACACAAATTTTCACAACACTCTGCGCAAATGAATGTTCTTCATTTTGCTCCTTTTTTTCTTTATTTTATTTTATTCTATATTTTTTTTTTTGGTAGTTTGCTCAACTTTTCAAAAGCTTAATGGTGGTATAAGGTGCACATCCTTCCAACTTTTACCCATTACTTTGCGCTTAGAGGGGGAGCAGGAAGGCGATGGGGGTGAAAAGTTAGTGGCAAGTGGCAAGTTTTTGCCGTTACTTAAATGTGGAGAATTTGTAAATTGAACTGAAGCTTGCGCTCGACTCGAACTATGCCTTGTCTTGGCATTGAGTTTGGAGCGCTACGTGTCACCAATTTGCCACGCCCACAGAGCACGCAGCGTGCGTCACATTTAATTTGGGACGTGCGTCCCCGGCTAAATGTCGGACCAATGGGCAATACTTGGGGAACAAAAATTTGCGCACTGCATGCAAATTATTTTGCTTTTCGCCCCTCAACGCTGGGCATTTGGTTGGAAGTATCTAAGGGCTAAATATATAGATATTAACATATATATATATATATTTGTTTAATATATGACATAATATGGAACGCATGATGAGCGATACGATATTATGTGGAGTTGCAAGTCTACCATCTGGTCAAATGGATCTGCATAAATGCAAGTTCAAATGTTGCGCTTTGAGTTTTGTCTTTTTTTTAAGTTTCAGTTTAGTTGGGTTCGTTTAGCGGGTGGCGAGTAACTGTTTATGAGACGGGAATTTACAGGTGCATAAATGTGGAGATTTTTTTAGAGCAAATATATATAGAGCATATATATTTTGTTTAAATATTTGAGCAAATAAATTTACTGGAGTGGTTGTTTTTCTTTATATTTTTTTGGTGAGTGTTTTGTGTTAGGTTTTTGTTTTCATAGTTATTGTGCAAGTACAAAGAGTTCTTGCCAAAACGAGATAGTTTGCGAGAGAGAGAGAGAGATAGAAAGAGAGCGTGAGAGAGTAAATGAGTGGGCAAGTGTCTTTTGGTTTTTGGCTAAGTCTCGTTTGAGCTACGCTTTTGTTTTTTTTTTTGGGCTCTTAGCCTGGCTTGTGGCATGCGCTTTTCAGTTTTTCATTGTCGTTTTCTTGCGTTGAGAGTTCTGCTCGTTTGTTGTGGTTCTTGTGTGTGCTTGTACTTACGTCGTTGTGTGTGTGTGTGTGTGTCTGTCTGTGTGTATTTTATTTACAGTTATGTTTGTTAGGCAATTTGTCTATTGCCTGCTTACAGCTAGAAGAGTATTTAAAAAGTCCAATAAATAATACTCGTATACCTACCAAAAAATTCTACAAAGCATACAAATTTTTGTATTTTGCTTAGCCTAATTTATATACATATATTGTTTATATGGTTAGTAAAAATATGTGTATATGTTTCGCTATTTTGTTTGCCTAAAGATATTTTTTTGTTATTTTTTCCTCTCTACTTTACCAAGTATCAAAATGACATTTGGCTACGTTTTGCTTTTTTCATAGATGTATGTGATGCCTTCTCCAATACAAACCTTTACCAATATATATATTTATATTGCGTGTTGTTGTTTTAACAATTGATATGCGTTGTGGTTGTTGTTGTTTAATGCATACAAAATCATAAATATATATATATAAGTCTATGTCTTTATTTATACATATGTCGGGCTAACTGGACTTCGTTAAATTAACTGGGCTATGTGTTGTTTAGTTTTTGTTTGTTCTATTTTCCAATTTCTTTCTGTATTGACTGTCACAGTGCAGGCCATGAAAATATGAACACTAGCTCTCACTTCATTTTGCTAAATTTAAATAAAATTTAATGAAAGATCTTTACTGGAATTTAAATTAATTTGAAGTTTTAAAAATACAAAAATATATTAAATAAAAATTTGTTCTATTACTTTATTAAAGTTGTTTAGATTTTAAAATAAATTCTTTTTTACTTTAACTGTCTTTCAAAGCACCTTTTTATTGCTTAACAAGTGCTCTATTCTCATGACCTGAGCTGTAGACTTATTTAAAATCAAATTGAAATATGCACAATTGCTTCTTTTTTGTTGTTGTTTATTTTTGTTTTTATCGGACTGTTTTGTTGGCTCAGTTGATGGCCGATTTGTTGGTTGGTTGAATATTTGGTAGCGAAAAAAGGTTGTTCGTTGGATTTTTCATAGTTTGTCTATATGCAATTTAACTATTTTTAGTATAAATCTATCTAGTATTTATTTATTTCGTTTGTTCTACGTTTAAAGGTTGCTATTATTAATAGTTAGTTGATGATTTGATTGTTCAGGCAATTAAATGCGACCCGCCTAATATGAAGTTTTATATGATACACTACTCATATAGAGAAGCTTATTTACATGATGAACGTATTGGCTTTGGTTTATTAAATTATGGCTTTTAGTTTGTTTTTTTTTTTTTAACAGTTTTTTAACAGGCTAAGAAACACAGAATAAAACTGAAAATTGTAACAAAATGATATTTTATATGAAAAACAAATATCTTCTAGCGGCAAACACGTAGAGAAAACAAACGAACCGACAGAAACAGCAAAAACTGATAAAACTAAGTGGGTAACGGGATTAACATACGCTTTTAGGTTTTTAAACAGCAAATGGAAATGGAAAAATGAAAAACTTTTCGTTGCAATTCGAATATGAAATTATATGGTACGTGTCTGGTTCAGGTTTAGTGGCTTAGTTGCTTAGTGATTCGTGTTTCATGATATTGTGAATAGTGTTTGAAGCGTGTTTCAGTGTTGTCAAATACCAATTATATCAGAGTTTTTGTCACGCGATTATGTTTCTAGATTACTTAGAGATCAGCTGAGCAAAGGATTGTGATAAGAATAAAAAGTTAAGAGTAGATCAAAGTACGAGTTAAGAATAGTAAACATAATTTTTAATTTGTCAGCTAGCTTAAGAGTAAGAAGAAGATGAAGAAAACTTGCTGCAGCTGCACTTTTTAGGTACTTTACATTGTTAGACAGAGGATAGATAGATTGTTAGACAGACAGTTCGGTGTAGGTAGTTTATTTTTTTTTATTTTTGGAGGTGTTTTTTTTTTTTTGTTAGGTGTGCAGCTTGTGTTCAGTTTTGATATTGAGGCTATTGCAAAGGTCTATCCAAAAGTTCCGGCAGAAAGAGAAGTTTTAGCTGGCCCGAAACTGAAATATTTGTTATGTGGCACACAGTTAAAAGTCCAGAAGTTGAGAGTAATATCTATTTGCAAACAAACGTACAGAATTAGGATATATATATATAGCAGATATCATTCGCCATACGATTCAGTGAGTGTGTGTGTGTTGGTAAAATTCAAGATCTAAATAATTGGTATTTTTCTTGTTTCTGATTTGTTTTTTGTTTTGTTTTCTGGTTTTCGTTTTGTTTTCATTGCACTACTGTAGTAAAACTAATGACAACTAAAAACAACATTTGGACACAGCTCTCATCTTTCGATAAGTGCTGCTTGTTGGGATATGGAAGCTTTTTTGTATTCTTTTCGGGACTTTTTTTTAAATAATTGTTAAATAAATAAAATGTGTGTGTACCTATAAGAGGAACAGCATCCGACGTTGTCGGCATTGACTCAGCAACAAGGTTTAGAAATACTGTTAATGATAGTAGTATAGTTACGCCTGGAACAAGAGATACAATAAATACGTATATCAAAAAAACAATTCGAAATAATAAACTAAATGACTGAAAATATCAAAGATAAAAAGTAAGAAATATTATTCAAAATATTTATATATTTGCAATAAGTTTTGCGTTTACTCATTTAGGTTAGGTTTAAAGTTTTGTTTTTGGTTTGTTTGGATGAGTTTTTTTAAGAGGTCGTTCTTTTAAGGAAGTTAACAACTTTTGTTGTAGATCTACAACTTTTAATTAGCATGTTCAGAGTGCTGCCTCTTATAATAGCTATATTATAATATAATAATATTTAAGATCAAAGCAGTGGGACGAAGGGCAACACTCCGTGGTTTAATTTATTTCAATTTACTGCATTTTAGAAATACTGGAAAAATAAAACATGCATTTGTTAAGTCTAGACTAGCTTTTAAAGCAGCGTTCATAATATACTTGGGATTTTAGTTTACGAGCTTTTAATGGGTAGTTAAATATGGTTAAATCCAGCTAAGCCTCATTTCGCTACCGCTGCTTTACCTGACCAAAATTATATATAAATACATTTATATATATAGCCTAACTTTGTATACGTTATCGTATTTGTAGTATATTTATCACACGCTGAAAAAACTTGCAAAATTTGTTTTATATATATATCATATATCTGGTCATTGGGGGGCAATCAGTGTTGTAAAGTTTTCATTTTCGTTATCAATTTCGTTTTGGTGCAATTCGCATACTTACCCAGCGTCAGTTTCTCGCCCGAATCCGGGGGCAATGTGAAGCCCAGCAGGGCCATCGATGATATTAGCACGCATGGCACAATTAAATTGAAAAAATAATATAAAGTACGTCGGCGTATTTGTATAGTAAAGGTGATATCGACATATGGTTCTGGGCAGCACTGGTAGACTATAGTATTCTTCTTTCCGGGCATGGCTGAACGATAAAACTCACGATTAGTACAATTCGAATCAATCAATTTGAATGCGACATTGAGACACAAATACACACATATGTACAAATATTTGCAATTTTCTTCTTTTTTTTGTAATCTATTTATCTATATACAAAATGAAATTTTTAATTAAAGCGGCAGCAACTGAAAATGTTCTATGATGCAATTTTGATAAAGCGCCAGGCGAAAAGTTTCTACTTCATATTAATATATATATGCATTATATACAAAATTATAAAAAAAATAATATGATTACAAATAGTTGATTAGGTTTAAGGTTAATGATTGTGTTAGACATTTACACATGACAACGTTAAGAAAACAGTGAAATAAGCATTAGGTTTATGATGATTTTTACTAACCAAGCAAGTACCACTCGCCATTTGTTATGAAATCGGAAAGATCCCCTCCATCTTCGGAATTCAAAACCAAATCCAACTGATATTTTTCAACGATTTTTTTTTCAAAAAATTAGTTTGACATTTTTGTAGACAAACGAATTTTCATTATATTTTTTAATTTTAGGTTGGGTATTGTTTTGAGTTTTTTTTGGTTTTTTTTTTTCATTGTTTGGAGAAAAAGAAATTTAACATTTTTAGTTTGATTTAGTAATATGTTTGAGAATTTACTTAAAGCCACGTTGAAACAACATTTATGTACATAAGATAGCATGTGTTCAAGGTGTACGAGCGAGAGAGATAGCGAGCAAAAGAGAGCTTTACTTTGTTTTTTTTTTTTTTTAATTTTTATTTGTTATATACTTATATATGCTATTGCGTTTTTAGTGCAAAGAAACGTGGAAATAAAATTAAATTGTACTGAAAACCTTATATTTGTTTGACTTCCATTAAGAGTCTTTACGTACGTCCAAAATAGTTCGATTTGGTATTTTTTTGGGCGTGGTTTTGGTCTGCTAACATGCAAAATAGTTGAAACTGAAATTTTTCAGTTGTTGCCACATGGGACGAAAAATTTCAAGGGTCTCACACATGATTCCATTTCTACGCAGCACTGCTGTGTGTCGTGCCAGTGTTGGTAAACGCTAACAACTAACTGCTTGTACAGCTGGCAGCACACAAGGGGCTTTATCTGTTTGTTTTTTTTTCTGTTTCTTTTTGAAGTGTTGACCTAAAATGTTCAATGCCTGATTGAACATTTTAGCCAACACGCTGGAACGTATTTCGCGTGCTTGAGCACATTTGACTTTTTGGTTTTGTAATTCGCAAAAACGCAAAGAACTGTTCGACGTGAGGGATAAGACAGAGATAGAGAGATAGAGCGAGAGAGAGAAAGATACTGATATATAAAATAAACCGGAAGATAGCTTGAGATAGAGATACAGAGTTTGGAAAAGCATAAACGAAAGCAGGGAGCGCCAAATGGCTCTAGGGGTTTTCCATTAAATAACGTCGAGCCTCAGTGTCCTGAAATAACCTAAAAGGTCAATTCCCTCTAATCCTGCCTATATAGTATAACCGACTTTTTGCTTGTGCACGTGCACGTGTCTTTTGTGCGTGTCTTAGTTAGTTTTTCAGTGTATGTGTGTGCGTGTTTGTGTGTTGGCAAAAAGCGTGATTGTGACGTCTTGTGAATGTGTGATTTTTTGCTGCACTGCCAAAGAGTTCACTGTACCAAGTACGGCTTAGCTCTCTTGGTGTAAACTGTACTGTACTGTAACTGTGTACTAAACACTTTACCTGATTTCCATCGTAAGTCCAACTACCGAATTTCATTTCGCAATGTTGGTCATCAAATGGGAACCACGTGATGTCTATCTTGCATGTGCTCTTGAAGATACCAGGGGGCACGTACAGACAACTGCCGTTATGTTTGACCACAATGTTGGTGTGATACGTGCCATCGAATCCCTCATCCGCGCTAAATTATTGTACAATATTGTTTATGTATTATTATATTTTTTGCTGCTGCTTCTTTTTTTTTTTCTTTTTGTTGGTATATTATTTCATTTTATTGGTACTGTTCTTTGTTCTATTTATTTATTTGTTATTATTTTTTAAGTTTGTTATGTTTTTTTTCCATTTATTATTTATTATATTTTTTTGTTTCATATCAAATGCGCATTCTGTTTTTTTTCTTTTAGCTAGTTTATATATAAAAAAAAAGGTATTTGGGTACGGCCTTAAGAGAGCTTTGGGAACTAGGAGAATTGTGTGTTGGTTAAGTGTAGAATAGGAGAGCTTAGGATTTTCTATGCTAGGTTTATGATTTTAGTGGGTGTTATAGTGTTTAGTTTTATGCTAGTTATAATATATATACTACTTATAATATTTTCTATTTTGGGCTTAATAAGCTAAGGAGCACTGGCCTATACATATAAATATATATATATAAACTGTTTGGGCTTGTCTATCTTTTCAGGATCGACAAATTATTTAAAAACAACCTGAGGTATTTATAAACATATATTTACAAACTGTATAACAATATGATGCAGAACTTGCTCAAGACAGAAAACCTGTTCTTTAAGAGAATTGGATTTGCGAGGCAAGAAATTGAAAACGATTATCTTTGAGTTTGGATAATTTATTCAACAAAATTTAAATTTATTCAAGAATAGTTAGTTGGGGCGAGGCAACAGCGCGTTATATCTGCTAGTACATAGATGTGCACAATTTGTTTTCATATTTTCCATTTATATTGTGTGCCAAATGGCATTTCCATTGTCAGCACATTTTGGCTAAGCAAATAAAATCTGTTAGATACAATAACTGTATCTAACTACATGCCGTATCTGTGTGTGCATATGCAAATCAGGAGCATACAATATGCAAGTGTGCTGAAGTCAAAGCCAGACTCAAGTGGCCTACACCATATATACTATATATATACTATATAAAAAGATATACGAGTATTTCCATTCCTTGCATTGCAATAAAATGCAATTACTTTTATTTTTGTTCGGGTGGGTTTTTCGGGGTGTCAAGAGGCGGTCGAAAAACTGTTGCGCAAACATTTTGTACGCAATTTGCATAGATATTTTGAGTTACGAGCTGTTTGCTGTCATTTGGCGTATTTTTTGCGGTCAACGTGACTTGTACGCAATCTATGTGGATGGGTGTGTGTGTGCGTGTGTGGCTTTGCATGTTAGGATGCGACCTACACACGCACACGCATACCCACACACCTTTAATCATGGCTGGATTGCGATTTTGCGGTTAAAGTGCGCATTTAATTGGCCGCATAGCACCTGTGTCCATGGGCATATGGGCGTGGCCAGCTGGAAGCTTACATGCTATTGTTGTGGCATTTAAGTGGAATTTGTGCCCCGATTAGCGGCTGCTGTAAACATGTACAAGGCACATTGGCACAGCTGCTGCGCAACGAGGCTCGAGAGATTGTGGCCTGAGCGTCAGGAGGCGTGCGAATAAGCCAACAGCAAACACTGCAACAATTTGACTAATTGAGGCAACAACAATTGTGGCATTCGTCAAATTGTTAACTGCAGTCAGAATATTTTCATCAAGTTCAAATGGACTTCGAAATAGCAGGGGAAAATAGAACAATACGAAAAATTTAACATATTTAGCCAACATGTGAATATCAAGTCAATCTGGGCAAGTTATGACAAAAATGTTATCCAATATTGAAATTGATTAGGCTTGGGAGAATTATGGTGGCTGAAAGTCTACGAAGAGGGTGTACTAAGAATTCGGAATTTCTATAGAATATACAATATAGAATATATTAAATATTTATTTTTTACATACATTTTGATACACTTTTTAAAGAATTTATAATTCTAAATTTAAACACAATTATTCTAAACATAATTATCGAAGAGGCCAAATGGAATTTCCCTGAAAATTGGTTCTATTTCATTAAATAAATCTTTGATGTTTTTAGGGCTTGGTTATTTTAAGGATTTGGAAATTTTACAAATCTAAATTATTGCCATTTTTATACATATGCAAAGGGTGTTATAATTTTGTCATAAAATAGCGACCCTATTAATTATATATATTCTAGATCTGCATCAAAATGTCTGTCTTTCTTCTGCCTGTGCCTATCCGAACTACTCTCGCAGTTTTAAAGCTATCGTCTTGAAACTTTTCATGGGTCAGTCTTTTTCTTGCAAGCAGTACATATGTTGAAAACGGCCGGATCGGACTACTACTATATGATAATATAGCTGCCATAGGCCAGATCGGTCGAAAATTAAGTACTAGTATGAACAACTTTTTTGATATTCTAAGTAACTCGACCAAAGTCGGCAATTATTAGTTCTACTGTGATTCTACTACTACCACTATATCCTATAGCAGCCATAGGATCGATCGGTTAGGAGTATGTTCTTAAATGGCAAAATATTCTGTTTTCCAAGATATTTTCATTAAACTCAGCATTGACGGGCTACAATATGCTCACATATCTGCAAAAGGGTAATGTCTGCAAGGTTATTATATCCTTAATTATCCTATCCTTACTTTCTATTGAATAAGTATGTAAAATTAATGAAGATCTGAGACAAGAACAAAATGAAAAAGTTATCGAAGTTAACTTTATAAACAGCATTTAATAACGTTGTTCAACTCTTATTTTAAATATTTGTTGACGTTGCATATCAATGTCTGCTATAACATATCAAATTCCTATTAATTCGACAAACGAGCAAATAATACGCTTTTTATATGATTTTCGATTCAGTTATCAAGTTATGCTAAACCTTTATCATACCCGTATTTATTTCGGAGAACCATTTTTTACATTTAAATTGCGACGCACATTTATATTATTTGAAAGTGAAAGATTTGGCAGTCTTTTGTATTAGCCACGGCTTCTGGCTTGGCCAAGGCCAAGCTGAAATAAATAAATAAAATCATTGCCAGGGCATTATTAAAATTGATGTTGGTCTTGACCAAGCCAGGGGCAGGAAAGCGAGAGAGAAAGACGGAGAGAAATGGTCTACGCCTCAGTTGGCTAAGCCACAACCGCTGTCAATTTCATTTGGGCGCGAAGGCCGCATTTCTCTGTTTTTACTAAGAAACTTGCACATGCTTTGTAATCTGTTTACGGCATTTACCAGATAACATTGCAATTAATGTGAAAGCTTTTCGCTGAGAATTTGCGTTCTGATGACCTAATACAAAGGGTATTATGAATTTCCTATAAAGTGTGCAACATATTGAGCGTTGCCCATTTGATGCCACAAAGTTGGCTAAAAGAGTGCTGAGATGTGCTTCGAATTGAGCTGGATTTAGTTGTAGCAGAACATTATATAATACAGATATTCTTTCCATTTCACTCTGTTATCGTTTGATAATGCCTCTTCTTTTCTACTTTTCATCATAAATCTCAGACGTGGCTAATATCAGGAGAGACTCTTTTGATAATACGAAAAATCTAAGCCCAAGTCGATCGATAAAGTCAGTCGTACTTAGCCAAAATTAATCGAAGCGTATTTAAGCTTCAGCAGTCTCTTCTTTTCTTCTGCCATTTGGCTCAAAGTCCATCCTGTGTAAAAAGTATCCCAATTAAACATCTTCCAGATTGAGATTCGTACAACGCACATTGAAATCAGCATAAATAAAATTACGAAAATTCCAAGCTGGGCAGATTGATGTGCAGAAGGCGTTGATGGGCTCCAACGAACCAAAAAAAAAAAATTGGAAATAAAAACCCACAAGGCCAATATACATACGTATTCAGTAAATGTGTGTGTATATCTGACAATGTATTTGTATCTGTAACTGTAACTGTATCTGTATATGTATCTATAAGCCTTGTTCGTCTTGCTATTGATCTAAATGATGGCCGCACATTAGCAGCGCTGCCGACGCATACAAATTAGGTTGGGCCAGCTCTCGTTCTGGCCATGGCCAAGTCGAAAAGAAAGCTGAATTAATAAATTAAAGCAAATGAAAGTCAATCGCAATGTGTTCCCAAATACGTTTGCGACACACAAAACGCCCAAACGTGTGCAGATTTTGAATTCGCTGAGATAAGCTTCTCTCAAATATTGTTGAGCTCTTAATGGGCATTGCTATTATTTTTGGCGAAATGGGCGTGAAATTGTTTCATGGAAAAGCCTCAACGCTGACGTCGTCCTGTGCAAGTTCATTAGTAAATAAAGTTGACAGTCAGTAGGTTGTTGCGAGTGGATGCTTCGTGCGTGTACAGCCACGCCCAATGTTCTGGTCCTAGTCCATGGCTCTATACAGTGATTTACCCTGGCTGGAATACGACTACAGGGCGAATCGATATGGTATCTTGGCCTTTTGCATAGATACTGTCCGGAACTTGCGTAGGCCTTGCGGCATTGTCAAGCAGCTCGCGTGGTCTATAGCCGGACCGTAATCAACACCGGATGCTGCGTGCCATGGAAATTAAAGCCAGCACTACGTGTGCCTGCACATTGTGTGGGCCGATAATCTTCTGCCCACGTTTGGCTTTTAAGCCTTTTGTTCTTGACTGGCATCTAAACTTCGTTTACGGCCACGTTGTTAAATCCTGACATCAATCAGGTGTGAAAAAGCGTATCCAATGCAGTGTAATTAGCTCAGCAAAAAAATTTGACACTGCGCCAGGTGCATTTTAGCCACAATTTGTGCAGCTGCCATATTTATTTTCATTTGTGTGCCGCTGTGTGTGTGTGTGTGTGTGTGAGTCCCCTACGCCCGCTCAGCTTTACGCGCTTTTTAGATCTGTACCGGCACTAAGGGGATTTGCGGCATTTAAGTAGTTTTTAGCCATTGCAGTTGGTTACATTTTTTTTGCTGGTTCAGACATTTAAGTAATGGCTTAAAATGTTTCAGTTCATCTGGCTGCTTAAGTAATGTGGCATAAAAGCTTTTTGCCGCGAAGCTCAGAAGTATGCCATGCTTTCTTTTGCTGACACTGCGCAAAAGTTAATAAAATAAATTGTGGAAAATACTTTGTAAATTATTCGGAAAAATGCTGCAGTTTTTATGCCAAAGCTACTTAAAACGTTTCCGAATGCCGCACAAAGTCCAATCGATGAGATGCCTTTGGCATATACTTTGTATAAAGAAATGAATACAAAATATTTGAAGAAATACATTTTACGAGCAAAACTATAAGGAAAACGTTTACGAATGACACACAAAGTAGAATCGAAGAAAATTGAATTGTTTCGAGGTAGTAAATGGCGTTTAAATATACTTTGTATATAAATTGAGTATAACATATACGCAAAAATGTTTATTTGCAAAAATGTAGAATTAAAGTAAAGCGAACGCTTTTCATGGGGAAAGTTGTTTTTATACACAGGCGATATTGCCAGTTGAGAGAGAGAGAGGCAGAGAAATATATTTGTATATATGAAATGTTTGCATGTGTGTTTTTTATTAAAATAACATTAAACAGATATTCTAGTTAAATTTAAGATACGAGAACACAAATCTTGAAGCCCTAAACCCTAGTACACAGCCCACAGATTTGTTATTGAGATACTTCTGCAGCTCAACACGCAAAAACACACACTCGTAAATTTCCTGTTGTGTGTGTATAGCATGTTGATTTGTAACTGTAAATTTAAACTAAGCTGACATGCAACTAAGCTGAGCTTACAACAAAACTTAAACTATCTTAGAGAAACCTAATGAAACGACAAATGGTTCGATTTGTTGTCAATTCAAATTAAACCGATTGCTTGACGTAAATAGTTGTTGTTTGTATAAAGCAAATGTCTGGAGACATACGATTATTTGGCGACACACAAGTACATATAGATTTTAGATTGGGTATAACAATGGTTTAGATAATAGCTATACATAATATACATATATGGATATTATATGTGTGGTTATTGATGGGTTAGTTATAATTGGCAATCCACTAAAATGTGAAGTATGAAAATATTTATAGTTATAGACACAGTGAAACACAGCTAGAACGTACAATAGCACACGTATATCAACAATGATAACAATTGATTACTTGCTTAATAGGTAAACACACTCGCACACACATTCACACATTTATAGCAAAACGCCACTGCAATGAGGTGAATGAAAATGATATGGAATTGTACTTATTGTGTGGGCATTTCAATTGCATTTAGTCAATAATCAGAAATGTAGAAAAAAAGCGAAAAAAGCACACACGTCAAGTAATTGTGGTTGCAGGTATACCCTGTTAATTACGGAAAAGAGCAGCTTGAAAGTAAGCTCTCATAATCTTTTTAATGCATGTGTTTTTTTTTATTTAGGAAAACACAATATTCAATTAGTTTATATATAAGAGTCTAGAGTATTATGCAAACTTTATATATTATGATGTTAATTAAATATTATTTAAATTTATTTACGAATGAGTATTGATATGCATATTTGCAAGAATGTGCCTTAGAAGGCAACTGAGCCAATTGCAGGGCATGTGATAGTCGAGCACACTTGACGGCTGCTTGCCACGATGAGCGTATGATACATGTTGTTGCATGTGGGCAGGGCGTAATTAACGTTTTTTTTTCAACTTTATCAACTAGACACACAGATACATACACATAGATATAAAACACAGTTAGTTATAGTTGGGCTTTTAATAGTAGTGGGCATGTTTGTATGTTTGGCACATGGACTAAGTGAAAGCAAATGGAAATAAAGTTTTGCGCAAAAATTTGTACTTATTGTTGAGTGATTGATACGTGAATTAGGCAAAAGTTTGTCTGCATTTCGAGCGTGATTCGATTCGAATATCAGCATTTAGCGTACAATTCATTGATGAGCTGTCCCACAGAAATAAAAAGTTGGGAACGAAAGAAATAAGCGAAAAAGCAGAATGTGCTAACTATTTGGCACGAATAAGTCTAAGTCTGTGCAGGAAAATAATTGAGCACGTTTTTACTCAATTTTTCGATTTGCAGTTTGCAAGGTTTTCTCCTTGAAAAAAAGGGTCAGAGTAAATCTCAAATAGAAATCAAATAGAGAAGAGAGGCTAGGTACACTCTACTATATTTTGGGAAGAGGCATAAAATAGATTATTATATTTAATTTAAATATTACTTCAAAGAAGTAAAAGTTGGATTTACAAGTTCGATTACCATTTGTAAATCTGGGAGAACAATTTTAATTTGCAATTGCGACTTAGACCCTTTAAAAATTATCATCGGGTTCTATTCTCGAAAGGTATATTATAAAAATCAATTTTTTCAATTTTTGGATAGCTCACCTAAGCATCGGCTAGCCGAGCATCTGGCTTTTAGTTATGTCTCCTTTTGTTAATGTAAGATTAAGGTTTCAGATGTTTCAAGATTGAAATACTTTGTTTTAGACGTCGCATCTAATGCGGCTGTTTCGAGCAGCTTTAAAAATGAAAATGATTTTGAGTAGCTGCGCTTTATTTAACTCTAACTAAAGCGTTTACCGACTTAAATATGTATGAGAGCAGTTTAAGTGTTGTTTATATAATTCGATTAGTATAAGTGTAGTTATTTATTCAAATATGTTGTCTAATGTGTGTTGTTGTTTGTGGCCTGGTGTGTGGGATGTGGGTTAGCGTTTAAATGGTTGGAATTGTATTTATTAGAAGTGCCAACAAAGTCCAAACTTTGTTTGAGCACTTGAGTTTTTATTTGGTATGGTGGGATTTAAGGTTTTTGGTACTTTTTTTTTTCATTGGTATTATTTATATATGCGTTTTTATTTAGTTTGTTTAGTACGAGGGATTTGATTTCTCATGCACAATACTTGAAAATCTATTTTGCCTTTGAGTTTGTGTTTTTTGCAAGCTACAACAAATACGAGTATAACAAAAAACATTTTTTTGTTTTGTTTCCTCTTTGCTTTATTTCTTGGTTTTTTTTTTAGGATTTGGCCAAATAAATTCAAGTACTGAACGTCTAACCAGATATATTACACCAGCATATTGTTGAACAATTTCTTATGTTGGTTATTGTCTATTACTTTTTTGTTTTCCGTTTCGCAACTAAGTACTGAGAGCAAACAATATACTACGTATGCATAAACTACATATGGAACAGATCACATGAGATTATATTAGGATCTGTTGAGGTATGAGAATTAGGAATTTTCGATTGTTTCGAACAAACTACTTGCATAATATTCTGGTTAAACAATGTGTTTAAAGTTCATGGAGTTTAGTCTGAGGTTTTATTTAGTTTCTCACTTTTTTCGATTAGAGTTTTTTTTATTGTTATTGTTTAATTATAATTAGATGTTACTGATTATATATGTACGTTCGGTTAGCATTACGAATCCAATTACAATGTGAGGCCCACATCAACGGCAAGCTGACAATGTACAGTCCCACTAGAACACCACTGCGTGTAAACTACTCTTATTTGAAGTAAACAACATTTTCACGTTTTGGTTTAAAAATATAGTTTTTTTTTTTTTTTTAAATTTTAGTCGTTTGTTCAACATAAACATTAAAAGCAAATCAAAATTTTTGGTTAACATTGAAACACAAGTACAAATAACTAAAACAAAAACATAGTCGATTATGTTTAGGTTTCGGCTTTGCGTTTTATAATAAGTAAATACACACACAAACAATAGCGAGTGGATTATGATACGTTTATAATAGGTCAGGTATACATATTATATATAATATATATGTCTATGTTTTATTTAAGCAAGTTTACGCTTTGGCAAACAAAAATTAAAACTAAACAAGAACAAATATTCAGCTATAATAGAAAAAAAGTCGAACACACAGCATTAAATATTGGGCGATATGATTAGCAGAAGCAATGGAAATTTATTTCAGTTATAATATATTGTTTTCAACTTTTTTTTGTTTGTAGGAAAATGCTATTTTTTCAACGATTCCAAAAATAATACAGCTTGCAATCTGTTTGCGATGAACGAAGCGCAGCTTAATTTAAATTTAAATTTCAACTTTAAGAGTTGGCAAGCATTTCGACTGTATTTTAAAGACCAAAACAAATATATTTGTTTGTTATTTAATTCTCATTTAATTATAAAATAGCCGCCAACGTTTATAATTGCAATTGACCATACTGTTTTAAATGTGTTGAATTTTATGAAAAAAAAAACGTTTCGAAAAATTTTTACATTTTAAAAAGTATATTACTCCTTGTCAGAAGATGAAATGCATCTAAAATTTATTATAATATAATTATACTTCTTGCACTTGTTTGTTTTTTGCCGATATTTATGAAAATAATTATAATTTTTCAAAATTCCATCACTCCTTTTTGGGAAAAACGAACAGAATAATAAATTCTTAAGGAGTCTATAGCTGAACAATACATAGTCATTAGTCTACCATAAAAATAAGCTTAAAACAAACATTCCGTTTTAACAACTAAAGTGCACAAACCAGCTACAAAAATATCTAATGGTTATTATATAAATTAAAACAGAAAGCTGTAATCGACTATCATAAGATTTATAATTTATAACCATCATCTCGCATAGTTATTGTGGTTATAAGATTGTTATACACACTTACCATTGAGTCTCTAATATAGTAAAATATATATGTGCTTGGCTGGGGCTTGGTATTTTATATTTTAAACCTTAAGTCGAAAAGTTTGACTGCTTTCACAGCTTTATCACTAAGTAGCGCATTATCAAAATTTGATTTGTAGTCGTTTATTGGTTTATTGGGCATTATTGCATTAGCTAGTTGCGGGCATTGACCCATGCGCTTGGGTCTGAAACTGGACACTTGGGGGCACTTACCTATTGTACATGAGCACATCGGGCTTCCACAGTTTATTGGGCGTAATGCGCAAGTCCTTGACGTTGCCATATTCCGTTTCGTTCCAGCGCAAATTGTAATCGTTCCATTCCTATATTGCATATATATAATATATTTTAGTAACGATAAAATACTTGCTTCTAGTTATAGACTATTGAAAAGAACAGAGGGGTAAATAATAAAGCGACGTGATGTGATAAGAAAGTGAGACAAGAGACACACAGAAACTAAGTATAGGCTCTAAATTACATATAAACAAATGAAACTAAGTAATGCTGAGCACATGCACAAACAAACGGGCACATACTGTATAACAGTGCTATGTTATAGCTATGCTAAATCACTGTTAAGTTCTATGGCAAGCTGTTTCGTTGTTATTTAACACATACTTAACATTTACAACAACTTGACAGCAAAATTGAAGCTAAGTTCTAGCAGTTGGCCACACAAGACACACACCTACATACACACTCGTACACACACACGTACGCACACACACTTGACAAGTTTTATCAACACTTTGTTTGCGGTTTTTATACCCTTGCAAAGGGTACTATAACTAAGTAAAGACAGTGTATTGAAGGTGTGAACATCATAAATTAAATAAATTCCTGATTAGTATCGTGGTACAAAAGCTTTGTATGTCCGCATGTCTTTTTAAAAATAGACTTAGCCTTAGCTCTTGATTATGATTCGTTATCGTCGAAGATCGGATTGCTGTGATAGTAACAATCTGCTGAAAGCAGGCGTTTTTTATGTTCAACTTTTTTGTTTTCCTACATTTTAAATCAAATTCAGCAGTTAAGAGCTTTAGGAATTTAAAAATTTGTTTATGTTTATATGTCAGCAAGGGTATATAAGCTTCGGCACTGTAAAGTTCTCTTTTGTTGCTATTGTCATGTGAACGCGAATGCCTGATCCTGCAACATTGCGTCCACGACTGTTCTGACTTGTGTCGCACTATCTTTTGCCCCAGGACGAGCACTGGCAGGAGCAGGAGACTCTAGCACAGGACTAGGCTCACTGGCAGTGCTTTGTGTCATTTTGCGGTTGACTGTTTGTTGTTGTTGTTGTTGCTTGTTGCTCTGTTGCTGCCACATGTACATACAAACACACATTTCGCAACTTTGCGCTTTGTGGCCTCGGCTACAAGTGGTTCTTGTCATAAAAGCGGCAAAGTTTTTCCTCTAGTTTTCCTTTTGGTTATTACATTTCTGCTGCTGCTGCTGCTGATGTTGTTGTTGTTGTTGGTGTTGCTGCTGTGCTTTATAATTTACACACACCCACACACATTTGTGGCATTTTTAGAGCAAGCAATTGTCTTGCTGCCTCTTTGCAACAAATCCCTTTTTAAGTCATAAAAAAGAAAAAAAAAACAAATAAAAAAATTTAATTACATGCCATGACATTGCATTAAATTATATATGGTAGATATATGCTCGCATATATAGTATACGGATGCGTCTGCTTGGCTTTAAAAACTTTCTACTTTAGTGCTGTTATTGTGTGCGGTTTTATGACAGCTGTAAAAACAGATGACGGTACACACTAACCACACAGATATATAACCAATTTTTCCCGACAACTCCCCCGGATACCCAAACTCTGTAGCAAATTGGACCACGCATTACGCAATTTTGTGGCATAGTCGAGTGAGATTTTCATGCTATTCACAATGGCAATTAGTTTTGGGTAATAATATAACACTTCAAATTTCTATTGTTGTTTATGTAACAGGAATTTGTAGAATTTAGAGCTTATCTAAAACGGAAATATGCTAACACTAGTTTTTTTACTAATTTAGTTATGGTTTTTGCGACCTTTCCATATTTATAATATTTGTTGGCTGGCTCGAGGTCCGGGTTTGTTGGGATAAATAGTAAAACACTTTTATTTCTAATATATTTCGGTTTTTTACTAATAATAAACCTTTTTCTCGAGCAATTTCATATTATTTGTTTGCTTATTATAAAGAAATCATTTCCTAAACCAACAGCGTTTTATTTTCATTTGTTCCCCATCTTATCTAAGTTTTGCTGATTCTCACCCGATCTTATACCGTGTATAACTTTTATTTATTATTCCAATTTCACTTATTCGTCTCAACTTAAATGGTGCGAAGAAGTACAGATTAGTTTTGTCTTCAATTTCGTAATGTGCGTTTGTGCCTGATATCTTAAATGTTTCATTTTCAGTTGTTTCACATAATTTCTTCTTGGTCTCAGGGATTTGAAAGTTCCTTTCTTGCTGCTCAATGCGGCAAATTCGGAAATCAATTTATGTTGCAATTCCAATCGTTTCCCATTATGTTTCCGCTTCGCTGCCTTAGCTTAGTTGTGGTTCAAAAGGAATGAAATTTATGATGTTCCATTTGTACTTGATTGTGGCTGTGCTTGAAACCTGTAGGGCCCGAATGTCGCCTAAATTTACCCATGTAGCTGCCCAGCTCTCCGCTCGCCGCCTGCCGATTGAAACGAATGGAAAGGCACTTTATAACGATCCATTTGAGTCATGTAGATTTGCGGGCTGGCCTTTCATTTGAAAACATTTAAATTACAAACTGTTGCTGGAAATTGACAAACATTTTGAGCACATTTCAAAATGTCAGTTAATAAATGACGCATAAGCCATCAATCAAATTGCCAATTGTGGAATATTTCGAACCCAAAATGACAACAAAACGTTGCATGAATCACATTTTGGGAGATTTGTTTTTTTTTTTTTTTTTGCCCCTGGACAAAACCGAAAATTACAAAATACAGGCCGCACATCCTACAACACATATGTTGCGGATCTTGGCTTAATCATTGAGATGCGTGGGACGTGGGGCGTGGAGTTAAGGGCTGGTTTCGATGTGTTAAATAAATAATTTAATTAATTTCACAAATTGACAGGAATTGACGAGTGTTTCCACAAGCCCTATGCCGGATATAAGCATGAGGAGTTCATGGAAAAAAATCATGTAAAATTTACCCATTGCGTTTCCGTTCAATAATTCGCATATATCATATTTTATAGCACACACATACACACACACACACACACACACACGTGTCACATGCATATTATACAAAAAAATTAAATTAAATTAAACTATATTTAAGACATGCAATACGTGGTAAAATGTTGTTAGCTTATTGCACGTTGTAATTTTGTAATTCCTTTTCTCATGCAAATTTGTTGTTGTTCATTTGTTGTTGTTGCTGCTTAGAGTTTTTGTTTGTTTGTTCCGTACATTGTTTATGTGTTTGGTTTTTAGTTGCTCTTAATAATAAATGCCAAAAGAAAATCTGTTAAAAACTATAATTAATATTATATTTGGCAGCAGCTAAACCTAAAAACTCAAAGTATATAATATATTTTTGAAAAGCATTTAAAGCTACTTAAAAATGTATTTGAAAACTAAATAGTAGAAGAATAAAATAGAAAATGAAACTGCATTATGCTTTAGCTAGTTAAAGAGTTTAAAATATGTTCTTTTTTTGTGTGTAATAATGTAGATATATTTAATAAAGCGCATTGATTTAAAAATGTATATATTTAAGTTCAATTGTATTTAGGGCATGAGGTTTAAATAATTTATCACACACTTACTAAGCCACGCAATCAAGCTAAAAAGTTGGCTCAGTTTGAAATGTTACTATAGAGAGTTAATGGAAGATAGTAGAAGCTTTACAAAAAGTTGGGGGTAGAATAGAGCTGGGTTTTCGAATATACAAAAATTGAAAGTTTCCGGAACCCAAGGTTCCTAATAGTAAAACTGGTTATAGAAGAAGTTCAAGAAGTTCGGGCTTATAAACATTGAGTGCTATTCGTACAACTCTTAGCATAGGGTATGGCCGTGTGTGTGTATAAATTATGAGCAGGCAAAAAAAACATTTCATTAGCTATGCCTAGCAGCCAGACTAACTACGCAACTAAAGGTGATCCTTTGAAATAATATATAGAATTTGTGTATATATTTGAACAGCTGCTCAGCATAGCTAACAAAAGGTTTATTTGTACTATTTATGATATGGTATTTAAAGCATATGAATTATTTAATGTAATGCTATATTTAAGGTTTTTAAGTTTAAATCACTTTTCAGTTTAAGTTGAAACTTACCAACGAAAGCCAAAGATTCGTTATAAGTAGTTGATTTTTCTCGTCCTACAAACGCATTTTTATAAAGTTTGTTTACATCAACGTAAAATAGAAATTAACAAAACACAAAAAAACCAATGAAGTATACAAAAGGAGAGAAAATATAAGTTAATAAAAGGCAAAAGTTAAAAAGAGCAGAGCATGATAATAGAAAGTTTTTATATATATTTGTTTTATGAGTTTATAAGAGATTTCTTTTTTGTTGTTATTTTTTCTTTTTTTTTTTTTATTATTATTTGTATTTATGGTTTTTGTAAGACTTTGTTTTGTTTTTGGTAATTTTGAATAAGCCTTTGCTTACGATTTGGCTTCAATGTGCTTGGCCTATGCATTTGTTGAGGTTATGTGCAGCTAAAGTTAGGTTAGGTGTTGCGCAATTTTAGGTTAGGTTTCAGTTATGAATTGAATTTCATGTGTTTTCCCATTGAAATTGAATAAAAGCTCATGTAATTAGCTTGTCACAGGCACAAAGACCGCCCTAATCAAATAGCACAAAATGTATAGAAAAGCTATCAAAACTTTGTTAGCTCACACAAAGCTGCCTTGGCCTTGGTCCTGCAACAAAACTCAATGCTCAATTTTAAGCTGCTGGTTGGCAGAGGCCGAGTTCTTTTGTGTCCATTGTGCCAATTTGCTTAGCATTTTATCGGATGTGGGCATGTCAGTGCAATAAAAAACTTTGAACTAGCCATTGTAGGTATCAAAACCCATTTATCTTTATACAAATTTTAATTAAAGATATTTCATGCTGGTGGTCTATTGTCAGTCAAACGTAGACAGGCAGGCAGTCTGTCAAATGTATGTGTATTTTGAAATTTAATATGTCGTTCAAGCTGGTTGCGGCAATTGTCGTTTGAAATGTTCATATATGAAGTTACAACCCATGCCATTTCCCTTGCCCGATTCACTGCTATTTTCATTTGACTGGCATCTGCATATGAAAGCCAAGCGCTGAGGTGACTTCTGTCATTAATAACTTGCCAGTGTAAACAAAAACAGAAAAAAAAGAAAACAAAAATGGAAAATCGTTGTGGCCAACAACAACAGCAACAACAACATCTACATTTTGGCCCAGTTAGTGCCTGACAGCAGCTGCAGTAACGACTTGAGCCATTAAAAGATACAAGGAGAAGGTAGAGGGAGATGGAAGCCAACCTGACAGCCGTTTGGTTCAGGATATTTCGGTGCTGCTTCTGTAATGATATGCAGGGTGGGATCCGGGTCCGGGGAGCCTTACTCAGTTTTGGGCCACTTAACGTTTTTGGTAAGCCAATATGCGCAGCACTTCCTCTCGACATCAAATGCCATAACGTCTATATATGCACGCGCCTGTGATATGTGTTATGTGATATTTGCTGTTGACACCTTATAAAAATGGCGGTTTTGTGCAAATTTCATGTTTATGACAGGCAGTTTGCTAAGCGCACTTCCGCAAAGGGGCCGCTGGGGCTACACGAACAGTTGGGAACTGGTCGAGGTGCTGGCACGTCTTGAAGCGAGTTGCAAATGTCGACGATGCCAACATCGACGCATACTAATGACATTTTTTTTTGCAGGAGGGTTAACTTTTCGGCTTACCTAAAGAAAGGGCATTTGCATTTCCACAGGCATTATGCATCGCTTGAATATATGTTCGAGTCCTGAACTCCTATTTTGCTCTGCAGCGAAACTTGAGCTGTACGAACATATGAACCTTATGCCTTAAATTTAAAAGTCGGCTAGCTACATTGCTGAATTGGAAGAATTATCTAACCTTTGCTGTTGATATGATCTACATCTTTAAGGTAGGGTATTCAATTTGCGGCACCACTTAACAGCTTTTCTCCTTTTCTTACAACAATTTACTAAAGCTGAGGCATCATTTGCAACAAATGACATTTGCATTAAATGCTCGCACTTTGTAGCTAGTACGCTTAATCATATCTATATACATATACTCCATGTATATATACATGGTACACACGATTATGTACCTAAGGGAAAGTTGTCGTAGAGTTTAATATGCCACTTCGTTGTTCGAGTTGGCGACTCGTTGAGCACGTTGTCATTGCCTGCATAAGCTTATAGATTTACTTTGCATTAACGTGCCAAATTGTTTTTAAATGAGTTTCTAATGAGCCAACAATTGCCGATGTTGTTGTTGTAGTCAGAATCTAGATCCAACCGGAACATATAGACCCCCTGACTTTTATGATAAATGTTCACATGGGGTGTACCACACATGCCACATATGTCTGGTTGTACAGAGCTCAAGGACAAAGTTTGTTAGCCCTGCCAGCTGTGGCCCCTTAACCCTACAGCCGCTCCCCCTACCCCCTCGCTGTTGTAAATGCCACGACAAATAAGTGTGTGATAAGTGCGCACAGTTTGGTTGTGCGCCAAATTGTTGCATGTTGGGGCAACAGTAATAAAATTGGAATTAAGCTAAGGGCTTTATGTAATGAGCTGTAGAAGTGAAAAATGTCAATAATTTGTAGTACTTATTCAGCACAAATGTATTGAGGTCTAATGGAAAAGTCAGAAAATTAATAATGGAAACCCAGTTGTTAAAGAAATTAGCTTTATATGATATTCGAATATTTTGGGTTGGGGAACTTAAGTGAAAGAAAAACCGCATGAATTATAAAAAGGAGGAAAGTCATAGGCTTTAAATTTCCTACTCTTACACATAGGCTAAATGCGAAGGCAATAAAATAAGATTGCGTTAAGGTTTTATTATTTATATCTAAAAAAATAGAATCGTAATCAAAGGATGATCAAATTCCCTTTGTTTCTGTCTGCTGCCCTGAGCTTTTGACATCAGCTGCAAGCTAACTAGCTGCTATTAGCCGCTTAAGCACCTTCGAGAGCATGTTGCACTTTTGGGCTCCTACATTGTTACTCATGCCCAAAAAAACCTTCTAGACATTTCCTTTTGACACATTTCTATGGCCAGTCATTTGGTGGGCTTTGTGTGGCTGCAACCAGGAAAGTCATTAAGGGCGGGTGAGAGGGGAGGGAGCGTGGTAAGACAGGGGTCCTGGTGTTAGCCGAAAAATGCTAATGACTTTATTTCTTAAACTTTGATGCCGCCTGCGCCCGGGCCAGGGCCAGGGCCTGGGCCTCGGCCACACAATGTGCATTTTAATGGCGTGCCAAGGAGGTGGCCTCTGACACTTCAGAGTTCAAGAGCGCCTCACGTACGCCTCGAAACGTACGGCTGGTAATTTTGCCAATGACACTTTACCATGTGCTGGTGTCTGGTTGCATTGCCACAGCTGACTGACGGATAGACTGACATGCCGGGGCCATCGATGCTTAAAGCACCATCACCATCATCATCATCATCATCAACAACAACAACACGAAAAACTAAAATGAAAAAAAAAATAAAAATGAAAATCAAGAAAAAACCTTGTCAGCCACTGAGCACGTTGCAACATCATGGACACTTGTTATGCATGCTTCCTTTTTTTTTAGAGTGTAAAATTTAACATATGTAGCCGCAGGGTATTCAGGGTATGAGAGAAATTTGGTAAAAAGTCAAAAGAACAAGCCCAGAAATCAGTTTTAAACATTTTAACAAATGTAGAAATAATCTGATCCAACAACAAAATGCCATCAAGAAAATCGTTTATATTTTAAGCAAGTTGTGTAAATTCAAAGGCATTTGTACTTTGGCATTTGTACTTTGATCTGCAAGATAATTAAATGTAATCAGCATGCTTTATATGAGGGAATTTACGTAGTCGTGGGGTTTTCTTTTTTTGCTGTGGTTGAAAATTTAGATGCGCATAATTCATGTGTATGTGTGGATATGCCAGCTACATGTACATCATCAGCATGTGGGTAAGCTATTAATTATTAGTAAACTAATTAGCGTAATTGACAACGTGGCCGGGCAAAAGTGGAAAATGTCAGGGCTAAAATTCATAAAGCTGTAGTTAGGTTGAATAATTAATGCGGTTTGGAAATCAACAAAACGCTGCGGTTTTTCTATCAATGAATCAATCGCAAAGTAGTGCATAAATCAAATGCACGATTATCAAAATGCAAATACCTTGAAATCTAATAAATAAATTAATTACAGCGCTTTAATTAACATTTCGTGCCGCACATTAAAGCCGAATCGTTTGTATTTTTTGTTTGTTTTGTTAAATATATATATAGCTATTCGATTTTTAAGTTTCATTTAGATTTGTGTATACATTTATGTTTAGATACAAAAAGAACACCTAGGTTAGTTATTTAGTTTGGTTTTTAAACAACATGCATGCCGTCTTTTGTTGTTGTTGATTTTTTTTTATTTAAATATATATTTTTTTGGCTTTTATTCAGTTGTTTGGAAACGTTTTATGACATGTACCCAGCAATAATTTAAGTTGATCAAACATAATCTGTAATAGATACTCGCATATGTATTAGTACATGATAAGTAAAAAAGAAACACGCACACACACACACACATACCAAAAAGTGAGCAGGTTGCAGTTCAAAACACAAAAATGAACAAATACTCTAAAATTCAAGTAATAAATTAACACGAATCTAACAATTATATTTATGTTAATTAAATTTTAATTAAAAGTGTATTAATGCTTGCTTTAATTTGTCTCTAATGCACTTAAGGCAAGTTGTTTTGTTGTCTGACTTGAAGCACTTGCCAGAATATATGTTTAATCCTTTAATTATCCTTTTGTACATTATTTGTGCTGCTATTGCTATTCTAGGAGCTCATTTAATAAGGATTTAAACACACAACAAAATAATCTTCTGTGGAATATTTTGACAAATCAGCGTTTGAGCAAATAACTCCCGATTATTTTGTGCAAGATGTTTTTGAGGATGATTTATCTCTGTAGCTGAACTTTTCAATAATCGCTTTAAAATGCTTTTAATCTATGAATGTGCACAATTTAATTAATAATTTTTTAAGATTTAATAGTAGATAGATTTACTACTATAGATAACATTTTGAAAAGAAATGAAACTATTTTATTTAGATTTAAATTGTAAATTGAAATTTCCGATTTTGATATTGATTTAATTATAATCAAACAGAAATAATGGAAATGGGCACATTTTAAAATTAATATACAATAATATTTTTATCATTTATGGCACAAACTCAGACAACATTATACGGGCATTGCGTTGCATATTTTTAATCCAAGCTGTCATTTAATTAAATTCGATTTTTAATGTGTTTATTTAATTTGTATGACAAAACATGGAACACAACAAAAAAACAAAGTAGAGAACAAAGGTAAGCAATGTTGGATAGGAAAAAACATTTATTTAACTGAAACAAAGTTTAGACACATATATAAATTCATATATGTAAAAACCACACAAAGACAACGACAAAAACGCCTAGACACGCTGCTAACAAAATTGTTTAATAATAAATGTTTTAGTTTTTCCATTTGGGTTTTGGTTTTGTTTTTTTTTGGTGCACTATGCAACAATGATGCAGGTTTCATTTTTAAACATGTATTTTAGCTTTTTTTCATTTTGTTGTTGTTTTTTTTTTTTGGTTTGTTGTGTTGCGGTGCTGTTTTCCCAACAATTAGCTAGAGTTTAGTTCTAGATGCCAAACATCAAAAAAGCATTTTACAAATTGAAAATTATTTGTTTCAGTCATAAATCTCGCAGAAAAATGCGCTATTAATTTTATTGAAAAGGGGTTTTTGATCAATCGCACCAGCTTCAGGTGTGCCCACAAACAGAGCGTAAAAATTGTTGCTGTGCATAAATTTGTATTTATGTGCCTGTTTTATACCCTGCATACGAGCAGAAAGTGTGCTGGAAATGAACTAGTTTAAGTTCAGAGTAGGAAACTTTAAACTAAATACATAAAAATATTCTTGATTGACATTAAATAACTTGTGCTAATAATCATAATATTCATAGCAGCTCCCCTTGATTTTTTCCAACTTCCATTTGGCATCTGTTATTTCAAATCTTGGCATGTTTTTAATAAGAAGTTTTTATAACTATCCCAATTTAATGAAGATTGGCAAATCTAACAAAAAAGTTATTCAAGCCTTAAAAGAAAAGAGCTACAGCTACAGGGTATCTGCTGGTAGACTAACGCTCTTCAACTTGTTTGTGTTGATTTATTTGTTTGTGCTTATGGCTGGAGTGCTCTATGGCAATTTATGCCAATTTAGCAAGAGCCCTCGTCCATATGCCAAGGCAGTTAGTTATAACGAGCTGGGGCCCAATTTCGAGTTAAATGAAAATGTGTAAATCAAATATTTTTAAGGCTTAGTATTCAGAGCAAATTGAGGACTAACAGGATGTTTACAATAGTTTATCCATACTGTCTGGTAGCACAAATATTGTTTTCAAATTTATTTGTTTGTTTAGTTTTATTTCGTTTAAGTGTGTAGTTTTTTTTTGTTTTCAACAATTGCTTTCAATTAAAGTGACTGCCATTTGCAGTTTTGCACTAACAACAATATATGTATGTATGTATATATATATATATATATAAATATATAATTTAACGGTGTATCACAGCAAATAAATTTCAATTGATTTTAAATATAGTATTTGTATATTTTTTCACACACATATCGAGACAACACATATTTGATAAAGACGCTTCCGTAATCAATAAATTAAAAAGAGGTTTATTTAAAAGAAATGCTTGTGTTTACTGTTAGCTAAGAAGTTAGTCGCACTTTGTTTCAAAATCAAATTAAAGCAAATCAAAAGAAATGAAAAGCAAGAGATTACCAAAAGTAAAACCCTAGCAGTTCATAAGAAAGACAGACAAACAGGTGCTAGACAAATTTGACGGCTGGTACATGTCACTTACCAAATTTAACCACGCATTTGTGGTCAGAATCTGATTCTTTTCGTCCTATAAGAAACGCAAGAACTCGTAAATTTAACTGTTATTGAGAGTTGTTTTTTGTGTTGTTGTTTTTTAATTTGTTAAGAGAGAGTTTTTGCCAAACATAAAACCGTCGCGACGGGCACATCAAAATTTTATAATTTGTTTGAAGATAGTGTTATCAAGTATTTGAAGTACCAAAATTCTATAAATTATAATACAAAACTGAATATAGAACGAGTGTGATTAAAAGAAGTTTTTTTCAAATATTTTTCCCTTCAATTGAAAAAAATAATAAATACAATGAGTGCGAAGAGAATTATTCTTTTTAAATTCAACTTAACATTTAAAATCAATTTTAAAAAAATGAATTTTTTTATTTATATTTGAGCAACTGAAAGCACATTTAATTGAAGTAATAAATGTGTCTAAATTACGAAAGAGCTTGAAGTAAAAACTCCATATTATAAGAGCTCCAAAATTATTTTATAAATCTCTCTATAATTAAAAGCCTGAAATAAAAATTCCTTTTTATAAAAGTTAAATTTGTCTAATATTCTCTCTCTATTTTTTTGTTTAAATAAATATATAAGTATTATTTATTTAAAGAATGAAAATCCCTTTTCACTACATGACAAATTATATTATATATATTTGGCCAAGACTAATTATAAAATGTGTTCAAAGAATAAAAATCCTTCTTTTCATTAGAAAATATTTAATATTAAAAAGTTTTTATAGAAAATATTTATACTGAAAGCTTAACGATATTAACCTGAAGTAAGAAAACAACTTCCTTTTTAAATGATTTTCTTTTCCCTTTATGTAGCTCAGTAATTTTTGTATCTTTTTTGTGATGTGTGCTTTTTTGATTAAATATATTACTCTAAGCTGCCAATCAATGAAATATTTATAGACACTTTAAAGCATTTTACTCGTTGACAAAAATGTATGTTGTCCTTGAGAAAATCAAAATGCATGTGTGTTAATAGCACAAAAATTAGAAAAACTCAATTCAAAAGATTTGTAGCTATTTGTGGTTTAAAAAAAAAAAAAGGATATATAAAAAAAGTTCTAAACAACGGGTACATGTCACTTACCAAGGCTAACCACAACTGCCTGTGGTCAGCAACTGATTTTTCTTTTTTCAAACCTAAATTTGCTTTTTCTATTCAGAGACATTGTTGTACTCTAGACCGTCGCGACGGCTACACATAAAAAAAAAAACTCCGCATAGCCTTGGAAATCCATTCCATGTATTTGATTTTATAATTATTTTAGTTGATTATTGATGCAGTTGCAGCTGCTTGAGAATTTTGACTGGTGGTCGTCGCTTCTCTATCCCTATAAATTACAAACTTACCACATCGATGATTTGCTGCAGCGTCAGTCCAAATTTAACCTCCAGGGGCTCCGATTCGTTGGCAACGGGTCGCTCCAGTGTGTTGTACGTGGACAGCAGGTGATTGAGTAAGCGCTTCTCGTGTGGTCCCTGACAGCTTTCTGCAACGAGAGACGAAAAATACGTTGTGTGCCAATTAGTGGAGGCTTCAAAAACTCAATTCTGATTTATGTTTATGGCACATTCAACAAATTTAGCTAATAAACGACTTTCACACACATACATATACTGACAGCCCTCGTGACAGCTCATTAGAAAGCAATTAAAAATCTTTCAGCAAATCGAATTTTTGGCAGCCACCTAATTTCGCTAAATGGTTGCCCGTGTCGCTGACAACCAGTTAAAACGTGGCGTATGCGCAATAAGTATGAGCACATCCATCATTGTTTGAATCGCGAGCAAACATTTATGTCAGGCTTTGAGATTTTACAATTGGGTGACATCTCGTTAAATGCAGTGGGAGAAATTTATGAATGATATCTATTTATGTTTCTTCTATTCTATTCCGTTCCTTTTCTTTGCTGAAGTTGATACTTCTTCATCCGTTTAAATTTCACTTATACTGTCTCCGTATTTGGCTTTTGCGCTACCTTTCTCTTAAATGTTTCCATCATTGTCTCTTTATCTCAGTCTTGAGTTTTTCACTCTCTATCGCTCTCTTTTATTTCGCTGCCCTTTCCTTTCACAGAACTTTTGTCTTATCTTTTTGCAACTTTCTTTGTGTTATATTTTCTTCATTCAACTTCTCTTTAATAAAGTTTATTGGCTTTCATTTTTTCCTTTGTTACTCTGTCATCCCTCTGTCCTTTTTTTTTCACTCTCTCCCTTTGCCACATAGCAGTCTCATTTATATCAATCGCCCTAGCTCTCTTTCTGTCTCTTATTTGTGTGCTTTGTGTGCTATTTCTGATAATTCTCTCTTAAATCTTTTTTTTATTAATTTGTTGTCCAATAATGCATTTTATGACGGAAAAACTTTAATACCCATATTCCGAAATCTTTTAAGCCCTCTAATAGCGCTGGATGTCAAAAGAATTAAAAAAAAAAATTGCGCATACGCCGCATGTGCGGCAGTTCTTTTGCGCATTGCCGCTGCAGTTGTAAGCGATTGGCCTACAAAAATACAGAACGCATCACAATACTAATTAACAATTTACTGAGAAACACACACAAACACACGGGCACCCACACTCAGGCATACATACAACCACTGACACACACACACACACACTCACGAAAGAACCAAATCAACTTTTGCACAGGGACAACCCGTCGAGCGTTTGGGTTTGTCAGGAAAATGCTAAACTTTTTTTTTGTTTTTATTTTTTTTTTTTTTTTTTTTTGGTCACATAGTCCCTGCCATTTGCAGCAAGGTTAAAAAACTCATAAATTTTTGAACAACAAAAGAAGAGTGGAATAGGATGGTGGGAGGGGGAGGGGGGCAACTGAGAGCTTTCGTACTCGTAAAACCACTCAGAATAAAAGGTGCAAAAATGGGAAATCACAGCGCAAAATGTCAAAAAGCGTAACAAAACAAAGCAAAAGAAAACGAAACCGAAATACGATGGAGAAGGCAAAACACCAAAAGAAGTTAAATAGTTTTAAATCATGCAAAAGGGCGACCCAAGAGACACACACACAGGTACAAACACAATGATTGCGGGTGTATCTGTGTGTGTGTGTGAACAAATGTCAACTGCAATGCGAGGACAACTGCAGAACTAGGAGAAGTTGTACAACTGTCTCTCAAGGCCAAAGAACAGAGTGTAACTGGGTCAAGCTGCACAACACAAATAACTCGAGTTAAATGGAATTTATAAACGCTTTACATCTAAGACTCTAGCTCCCAACTGGCTGACAGACTGATGATTAACACGGAGCCCAAAACGTAAGAGCTAGGACACTTCATTTTTCACAGTAGTCACCCATTTTGAAAAATTAAAGGGTTTCGAAAAACTCACTGGAACACATTTCCGAATATCCCACTTAGCTATTAAATAATTGTATACAGATATTTACCACATTCGTCCGACCGGCTTCAAATTTATTGTCTACATTAGAAATTAAAATGAATATTGAGAAAATATCGGGACCAAGCAAAACCGGGTAATATATATAATATTATATATTATTAGTGTCACTTGCAACTTTGATGCTGGCGTGTCCTTCGCATATTGAAATGCGACTCATGTAATAAACAGAGAATCCGTTTACAGTCACCTTGACAAGTATACGTACGTGGCTTGTGGTCAGTGTCCAAGTGGTTTGCTGAGCCATGTCAAATTCATGGACTGCATAATTTATAGTTAATGCCAACATGAATTCGATTGCACTGCCTGACAGCTAACTAATGCATTTATGAATGAGCTGCTGCCTTGTTGGCCACCTTGGTGTCTGCTCCGGTGGCTGGCACAGTTTGTTCAGGCCTGGTCAATATTTACACTCCAGACGCAGCGGAGCAGGCAACCTGTCCCTTTGTTATACCTCTTTTTATGTGCCTTTTGCCCATTTCACTTGACAACTTTGCCGTGCTCTGATGCGGCCTGTGGCCTGTCATTTCGCCTAATTGCGTGTAAATAGTTTTCGCAATTGAGTTGTCAATTTTGCCCGACCTGTGTTTCGACTAGATAAACGTGAGGCTATCCCATTTTCTACTCGCCTCACCTCGTAAATTTTCCAACTTTCTTTTTTTGTTGCTCAGCTCAAATATTTGTCGTGGCCGTTTTACGGGCTGTTATAAAACACCGTGCACTACCTTTTAAGTGGAAAAAAGCAAAGAGCCAATGGAGCTAAACCTGGGAGTGCGCTACTTAATGATGTTTTATGGCTGCCATTGCGGCCTGAGGCTAAAGGCCGCCTTTCGAAACAGTTGAGTGATCAAAAAGATAGTTAAATGTATTTTATAGCTACTATATGAAAGGGGACTTAGAAAAATTATTTAAACACTAAGCCTTAAGGAAAATTATCGTTCTTTAAATCTTTTAACAGGTTTATGTGTTATTAAGTTTTTTAAAATGAAATTAGCGAATTTTAAAATTACTTAAATTTATAAATTATCATGCTTTTAGGTGTCATTTGTTATGTGTCATTTTCAAAAAATGTATCTCAGAGCTTAGCAAAAGCATAATGACGAACATTATGTTATGCTTCTTGTCTAGCGAATCACTGTAAATTGACAAAAAAAAAGAAGAATAAAATTCGCATATGATTCGCAAAGGGTTTAAGCCAATTGTACAAGCATCGGTTTCATAGCATTAAGCTTTTTGCCTTTGATTTCCGATTAAAAATTAAAACTGCAAAAGTGAGACAAAGTATTTCTGTTTGAGAATTGGCTTTCGCATTTTGTGCTGGCTTTTGATGGCAACTTCAGATGGCAATTAAATACATGGCTTACTCCCTTGGCTCCGCCCTCCTTTATCTAGCCATTGCGCATGTGTTACAAATGTTGATAATGCACTCGGAGCGAGAGAAAGAGCGCAATTTTTATTATTGCTTGGCTTAATGATATGCAAATACATGCAGACAATGGCAAAGACAACAAACGGGACTCGAAACAGAAACAGAAACAACAATAAGGCTTTGTTAATTGTCGTTAGCCCTTGTTGCTCTTGTTGTTGTTGTTGTTGTTGTTTCGTGTTGCTGTTAACATTTAATTAAACGCCTTTTGCTGCGTTAAGCACGACATGCGCAACGCTTCGCTTATAGTCCACGCAATTACGCGCCATTTTCACTTTTCTAAACGAATTTTTCACAAATTTCCACTCGCCCATTCTCGTGCAATGTTTGTTGCTGTCTCGTACACTCATATTATTGTTTAATTGCAATTAGCGCGTAGCAGGCAGCTGACAAAATGATTATGACGAGCCCGTGTGTCGTCGACTCATGCATTATGCAAAGGACATGCCACGCCCTTTTACATACTCGCCCACACACACACACACACACCTTGCAATTAAGTTGCAAATGCCTAGCGCCCATTGTCCTTGTTGCTGCTTTGTTGCTATTTCTGCTGCTATCGAAGCCAAAGCGTGTTGAAAATATCTCCTTGAAGTGTGTTGCCGCCACTTGAGTGCGCCCGGTCTTCAAGCGAGCCCCCCCTCCTCACACTGCTCCAGCTTCTTTAGGTGCTGCTTCGCTGCGCTGCTTGAGTCTAAGTGCTTCCCGCCTTGAGAGTGTGTTAGATTATTTGCATACCCTGTACTCATTAACAATGGATAACATTAAGTATACTCAACCCTCACGTCCGTCTAGCAATTTGTATGGACGTGCTCAAATCAGATTCCATAAAAGAAATGAAGAACTGAAGAACCAAATTTTAGTTTGTAGATTCTCATATTTCAAAGTTTTTTGCATATTTGATTCCATATATAATGGTCAGAAAATAAGCCCCAACCTCAATAAGGGCTGCATATTTTCGTTTATTTATGTCTAGAGGGTATCTACTAGTCGCACACCCTCATCGTAAGCTCTCTTACTTGTTTTGTGTGTGCGCCAGGTTTTTTTTTAATTCGCATGCTTAAGTAGTTAGTTTAATAAATTGCATTGCTTAGATGCGAGCGAGGGGGAAGAGTTTGGTAGATCTCTAAGGGGAGCTTCGCTAATAGTTAGCTTAAAACTTCATAACTTACAAAACAACATTCAACTGATTTCAGTTTTCGTAATTCGAAAATGAAAACCTGCGCATTTCTGCATAAATAGCTTTTACCCCTGGGTGAGTTTTCAGCATGTCGAAAAGTTTGCTGCGCATTTCTGTGAAAACTTGGCGTGAAAATGTTGTTGAAAGTGTGTTTAAAACTGGGATTTTGCGGATCTAAGAATGCAATTTTGAATGGGTTTAACTATTAAGCAAACACTTTCCACCTAGGAATACCTGAGAACTGTGTCATGATTGCCCATAAATTATTTTTGAACTTTTTAGCTGGTAAATAAAGAGAACTGCCTTCAAAATCTACAGCAATCATAACATAAGATAAACCTAAATTGCAATCGACGTTAAGTAATTTCTATATTGAAAAAATTGTTCTGTACTTTTATCATGTACTGCCAAGACACATCTAAAAATTAATCACTCTGGATAGGCAAAATCCCGAAACAAAAAACA